GAAAAAAAGATATAATAAAAATATGAAAAGTAAGGGTAACTATATTCAATATTACAAATTAAAAAAAAAAAGATTTTTTTCAATATTAAAAGAATTAAATATATTTTTAATTAATTTTACCACCCCATCAACTGGAAATTAACCTGATTGACTTTGTTATTCACTTGCTCTACTTCTATAATAAGGTTTATAAGAAAGTACAGTATGGTACCGTACTACAACTCTTTACAACATCTGCTTAAACTTTTTAAATGAATTATTTAAATTGGGCTAGTGTTTTTTGGTTTGGGCTAGGAAAGTTTAAGAGAAGTTTTTTTCGTTTCACGTTCAACCTCAGCAATTAAAATTAAATTAAATTTTTAAGATTAAAATATGGATATATGTAAAAGTTATATTTATTTCATAATAATTTTTTATATATCCATTTTATTTTTTATATATTATGATGATGATGAGCTAGCAGAGTAGGATGTGTACAAACAGTTAAAGGAACTGACTGGAATATGAATGTGTTTAGATAATCATAGAGAAATAAAAATGGATGTTAAACATGTATGCGTTTTCGTTATATATCTAGTAGCTTGAAACTACTAATTTTTAACGTAAAATTTTACGGACCAGTACTTCTTGGTACGGACCAGTACTTCTTGGTACGGACCAGTACGTCTAAGGTCCACTGGTCCGTATTGGCCAGTCCTGCCCAAATTCTGTTTTGACCCCTGGCTAGCATAAGAGCATGTTCAAAGTGGACTTATCAAGGCAAGAGGCAGTCAAACTATGACATGGCTCTTTTCGTGGGATACTAGTATATGAAATTTGACAGCCGTAGCTTTAGCCTTTAAGGGATTTCTTACTGCTGTATTTCCAGTTGTATCTTAGCTTGAACTGAGGAATGACTTTCTCAACCCAGTTGTCTGTGAAAACCCACATGATATCACTGAACAGCCTATGAACCTTTTGGCTCTTTGCGTGCTAATGCTAGTGCATTTCAAATCTGTCAAAAATGTAAACAGGTTAAAGAGAATCATAATTTTCTTAACCCAGATCTTATCCCACTTGGACTACCTATTAACTTAAAAATTAAAATAAACTTTAATATTAAAAACTCCACGCGTTCGTCAGATCTTAGGTATGGTATAAATTATGCAACGGGTGCAAGAAATATTACCCAATCTTAACAGCATGGGGGGAGGTTTAAATATCATTCCAGCTTACCCCAACTTGAAACTTACCGGAATTTCGGCGAGTCCTTTAAGCACTCGTTGAAATCTATTATCTGCCTCATCTTGTGTTGAATACCCTCTCACTGTGTTGTTGATGCACTGGTTATGTCATTCTGCAATTTTGAAGTTAATTAGCAACAAATGGAAGACTTAAACACGTTAAGTTAATCAATGACCTACATGTACTGTCAGCCTTCATTCAACATACGGAGTCACTTTCCGACAGAAGCTTTTTTTCGAATATCACATCGCACATAGTCGTTTTTACGAAGACAAATGTATCTTTAAGCATAAAGTCATGACAAACAAGAAAAGAGATTTGAATAATTTATGAGATTATAAAGATCAGCACTTCTTCACCAAGCTTGTTTGACGCTAATGTAAAATCAGCGTAAATGTTGTTTACAGAAATTAACAACACAGTGATTGTGTTGGCTCAACTAGCACAACCAGTACATTGTGTAGTACCTCTGAAACCGATTAACAATAATACTAATGAGAATAATATTTACGCTTATTATCAATATTACGCTATAGGGTAAATGCGGGTGTTCATAAATATGCTTTATGATAAAATAAAAATACTGTCTCTTGGCAAAGGATTGAGATCCTTCACAACATATTTTTTTTAATATTAAAATATCAAAATGAACGCGTTTAAAAATATTGGGGAGTGGGATCCTAAAATATATAGCCTATAGGCCTATGTCTCGAGTTACACAAACTCAGGGCTCTGGTTATAACGAATATATTCATACGACAAAGTTTGTTACAAATTAAATTTTTGCCAAAATGCTTGTTTTAACTTAATTTCTGTTAGACTGTCTGGTTCTTTAGGCTCTGATAACACCCCCCCCCCCCTTCCTAACCTGCTCCTCATGCAACGGACCGGAACTCCTCGAACCACAGCGGAGCTAGAGTCACCGCGACAGTTATGGCTCTGTCGTCAGTGCCAACACTAAGACCCGCACCAGTGGGCCAAGGTCTTCCCAAAGTGTGTCTCTGAAGATATTTAGTTTTAGGACTTGACCAAGAAAAGTTGCCATGTTCCGAGCTGGTGGCATCACTTCCCTTCCTGAATTCTCCCAAACAGTTGATAGGCAACGTGTAGAGAGACGAGAAACATAAAAGTTGATAATCAGTGGAGGTGACAAACCTAAATGGGTTGTTGTAACCAAAGAGCGAGAGAGAGGAAAAAAAAACAAATTGTTAATTAAAGAAAACTTTAAATTGCTCTATGGGTTTAACTCAAAAGAGTGATGCTTTGTGGAGGTAATTCTAATTTGTCAACGTAGTCTTAGTTAAGACTTTTCGTCTTTTATATAAAAAAGATACGGTCACACGGGTTTTTGACCAGCGCAGAAGACGTAGGCCTTAGTAGCGCTGTCGTCGTCGCCTTCTGTCTTAAAAATTAAGAACATGAAATGTCGCATGATGAAGTGCGAAAAATATCCACCTGAGCGTGCAGTCTTTTAACAAGTCACACCACTAACTTCATTCCAAACGTCTATTTCGGTGCAAAGCTATTACATCAACACTAAAAAAGCTTCGTGTCAACTAATTGCTAAATGATATTGTGGGTAACTTTCACAGTTGCTGGAAGGGGTATGAAACGGCAAATGCTGAGGTCCCATTTACGACTATTCTGCGTGAAAACTTGCCGTGATCTGTAATAAAACGTATGATGGACCGTGAAAGGTTGTTCCGATCAACGCAGAGCTTGGGAAAGCATAGTAGGCCTATGAATGTAACAAAAAATATCCAAGGTTGCTGCATTAAACACCTTGAAGGAGAATTTCTGGTATTTAAAAACTGGTTTTATTGATAACAGACATAAAAATGAAACATGCGATGTTAAAAGCATTTTGATTTCAATCCTTATAAAAGGTAGGCCCTATTCTCTGCACGCGGAGATGAAAAGAGAGAACTGAAAAAAAAAACAGGTTTGAATACGGTGGTTTGAACAGAGAGATTATGTGAATGGTCGCAGTTGAAAATAAACTGAATTTGCATCACTATACGAGTATTTCCAGCGACGTTGCTTTCTACGCTGGTCAGTAAGCATCTCAAGCACCACTTAAAGCGACTTAAGGCATTCTGCTGGTCAAGTGGAGTTAGCAGAGGTGCTTACGGTCCAACGCAAGATATAACGGTTCATCATTTAACGTTGTACGTACTGAGGTTATGAGAACATTTTTATAGAATAAAATGACTGCTGTGTGTTTCTCTATAAAAGATTCTAGAAATGCGCAATACAGTGATTTCATGTGTCATGATATGTGTTTAGGTACGTATAACCACGGAGATAGGCCTAGACATTTGATGGGACAATGGCGCTATACCCTTTATTCGGTTTTAGAGGTGTTTGAGAGGGTGAAATACGACTTCTTTCTCTCGGTTTGTATGTCAAATAATACACTGTCACCTTCTCACGATATATGTTTCTGAGAGTTTGAACACCTTTTGCTGGGGTAAAGTCTGAGGGTAGGGTTCAAATTTGATGTTTAGTCTCTTCCCTTGGGCGACAACTAGAACTACTTTATTTCTATCTGAGGAAATTAAAATTTAGGGAATGTGAAATGACTACTTTAACGACCTGAAACATTAAAAAAAATTCCCAGGCTGGATATACTGTTCCTAAATCGCGATATTTTACATTGAATGAGCTAATTTTGCTCAATAGCACGTGCTGAAAAGAAAACTCGTGCTGACACGACTTTGGAACGCTTTTAAAAATTGTACCGAATGACCTTTTCATTGTGGGAGCCTGTGTACAGTGTGAACAGCTGTCATTTGGCCCAGTTCCTTGTTTCCATATGTATGTTTATTGTATTCACATTCAGTTGTTGCACGTTCATTTAACATTATTGTTATTGCCATCTTAACCTACCCTTGCGTGATTGTCTTTTGTGGTCTTTTTTTATTATTTTTGAATTTTTTGAATCGATTATTTATTTATTTATTTATTTATTTATTTATTTATTTATTTTATTTTTTGCACCCTGCAGCTCTAATTACAAAATTCGTAAATGTACATGTATGCAGTATAAATTTTTGCAATGACGAAATGCTAACGATGCTATTAGCTGATAAAAGAAAAAAATAATTATTATTATAATAAATCCAAAAAAGAATCAAACAGCAAGAGCAAAAAAATATGTAATGAGCATTATTCGGAGGAACGCAGAAATGTAAGCCAACCTTGCTGAAGGGCATCTCAGAGGCTTCGTCGTTCCCTTACCAGCAGTTACCGTTTTTTCATAGTTGTAATAACCGGCTTTTATTATATTTAAAAATCCATAACCAATCCATTCATCGCGATCGGGGCCTTGGCATCGTTACTGCTGGGCCCTGACAATGGATAACGTATCACGCAACTGTAGATGGTTACATGTTGTGCGTTCCAAAGGCCATGATCCACCTAGCAGTGCCCCTGACAGGCGTGATTATGAATCCCTAAAGGCAAGCTGCGACGGCCCGGAAACACACGTGAAGTACCCTGAAAATCACGCCTCAATAAGTGTATGACAGTCAGTTGCTTAATATTTGGGCACGTGCTTTGAAATGCCTTTACTTTGATTAGAAAGAAATTTCACACTTACAGGTTTTATATAAGTGGTTTCATCTATTCCACACTAAGACGGGATGAATAAATTTTCTTTGGAAACTATGTCCCAATTTCTAAAAGTCTGATTCCCAAACAAATAATTTAACCATGAACACAGGGCGCAAGGGACACGTCAACTATATATACCCTGTGCGGCGACCCATCGTAAACATCCACGAGCCTGTCTACCCGTGTGACAGAGAGCCAGCTACATTAATTGTGCCATCTTGTCTACCTGAACCTTCTTCGTCAACATGACTTTCCGCATTGGTATTGCCGTGTTCCTCGTCACCTGTGTGGCGTTTCTGGAAGCCAAGTCCGTGTCCGGGCGGAATGCTGTTGGATATTATGGAGGTGTCCGTGATGCACCTTATTTTCCAGATTTTAATCCTCTCGGTGAGTTTGGATGGTTTTTCATTGTTTTTTCCCTTGATTTCATTTTATTTCTTTAGAAAGTGTTCAAGTTTTTTTAGTGATCAATTATTTCGCCAGCAACATCTTTATCTATTTAAAAGAGACGATTCTGAAAATACTGAATTGATCAGATAGGCCTACATAAAAATCTCTCTAAATGACACTTGAACGGTGCTTTCTGTAAATTGCTCACCTCTTTTACAGTTAGGATTTTTGTTGGAAATTCGTCCCCTTGGTCAATTATTACCAAAGTTTCGTATTCGAGGTGGCGATATTGATAGGGCCTACACATATCGATTTACACTGTGACACCCAAATGTAAATAAGATTACGAAAGAAAACGACTTATCAAATTACATTTTAAGTGAACAGTCTAACAGAAATTTACGATCCTGTTACTGTTCGATCCCAGTTTCCTTTTATTTAATCTGACTATCTCATTTAAGTAGCTGTACTAGTCAACTAGTCAACAATATTTTACTAGTCGTTTTTTTAAGCGTACGGCAATTTTATATTCTACATTTTGATTTGATAGCATAACTTTTTTCATGTTCTCACTTTTTTGTATACCTCTCTTTAATCAAGAATTGTTTTACTTCAACCTAAGGGTTGCTCTTCTCTGAAAAATAAAATAATTGTAATGAATCTTTTTTCTCTTTCAGAGTATTGCCAATATGGCGGCGATGGCGATAAGAAAGGGTACGGAGGCAAAGACAATCGCGTCCATTACTACTACAATCCCGAGGACCCCTTTTGCAGCTTCGTGCAGTGCTCCAATGGCAAGCCAGTCGTAATTGACTGCGCTCCCCATACTTTTAACACCCTCGTCAGCCTGGACGGATACGAATTCCAATACGACAACCTGCTGTGTGACGGGGACGCCAGAAGCGATGCCCATGCGCCACAGTGTGGTAGACAATATCACTAAAAGTTAAGGTACCTGTTTATAGAATGGCATTCCCTTGTTTGGTGTTTACAATGGGAACTGTTTAGAAACGTGTACATACAGCTTTAAAAATTGCATGATGGAAGTACATGTAGAAGTGAAAATTATATTTGTCTCCTTTGCAAGATAAACATCCATATTATTGGTTTTTGCCCAAAGTCAAACGGTTGCAAGTAAAATAAATAAATAAATAAATATAAAAATAATATCTCTCATATATCCCTTCAACAATTCTGTGTATGCGGCTAAGTCATCGTTTTCTCTGTTATTCAAAGCGTTGCAACAGATGACAAGTGATCTAGTCAATGTTTTTTCCTTCTTATTACAGAACCAAGAAAGAAAAACTCTGCGCCACGGTATCTTACCGACACTCCGCTTATGGAACCCATTGGTTTTTACTAATATTCATATATCCAAATGACAGCTGTGATGAGAGATAAAATAGAGCGACGTTTTGCTAGGCTTTGGAGCCATATCTAACCTTGTCGTGCCATGCAACGGTAGCCCGCGTGACATCTCCACGCCAAAGGCAATTCCAAGTGGAAACAATATAATGTTGACAACAAAAGAACATTAAATCTGCCGCGCAGTTTTGCAATCCAGATGAATTACCGATGGTAAAATGTTACCGGAAAATATAATCAAATTGATTGGTAAATCACATGCCAATGAAGTTCATGACAACGCTTAACGTGCAATAAAACCTTAAAAGAAGATTTGTGGTTTACTTTTTCTTTGCCGCTCAAGTGTTTGACAAGATTTTAATTATCTCTACAGACTATATACAGACTGACACATAAACATAAAATGTAATTAGTTTATATAAGTAGGCTGCATGTTCTGCTGAATGTTGGCAATGACCGATTTTTTCAACAGTGGATCTGGGAATTTAATTAAAAAACAAACATTTGATAATATACTATTTATTGTCTAACTTAAATATAACACATTCATCTTCTTTGAAGAAAACTGATACTTCATAGAATCATAATCGAATCTTCACTCATTTTATATTAAAATTCTGCTTTATCGCGATTGAGGTTGGCATGCCTACATTTTAAAAGTTATTGAAAACGAGTCACTTTTTATCGTTTCTCTATCATAATCAGGAAAATTTGAATCCATTTGTCATAAGAAATCTGTATCAGTTGATACAACAGTTAACATGTTGTTAATTAAAAATCAAATCTAGAACCCCCGGAAGCACCTTTTCTCTCACTGTTACTCTATTGCCAATCATCACTGCTTTAAAATCTCCCGAAAAATGAACATGTTGGTGACGGTTTTCATTGCTACTAGCCTCGCCATCTATCGGACTGTTATACTGACAAATTCTCGAAGCATTCTCACCCAACTCAGTGTCAAATCTAACACAATTGTCATTTACGGTGGAGTCCATGGAACTAGCTTCTGTGATCCCCATAACGCCCGGGCTAAACGCCAAGCCTCGTCTTTTCGTAGGACCGAGTGAGGAAAAATCAGAAATTCTATCACGATCATCATAAACAATCTTTTGCTTTTCATTGGGAAAAATACTTTGATTATCCTTAACTATGCTACATTTAGTAACAGGTTTTCCTGCAAATCTTCTGAAATCACATCTCAGATACCCAAGGCCCTCTGCTTTAATATCATAAGAATGAACAAATCTCCCTAGAGGAGTTTCTCCCAGTACATTCTCTCTGCCTACATCATAATATGGCTCATCAGAGGTTGTGTGCTCAAGTTGAGTCAAACAAACTCTGTTCCTCCTTTTGTCATTTGATTTTCTGTCCATCTCACATTGTTCATAAGATAAATCCATTACATCAGCCACATTTTGACTCAATTCTCCATCTCCAATATAAGCATTTAAATTTCTATTAATCTCAATTTGTGTACCTTTTGCTTCAGTGACTGAAATCTTCTTGAACTTGTCTTTGTCGGCGATACTTTTCACCGCCACTCCAGGATTTAAAAATTCACAGTTTTGACCACATGCTGAGAGAGTGAGCAAAGATTGGGATCCTGGTGTGTAAGTATTTGGCATGTCCTGCATATCCAATGGCAGCAACTTCAAAGAATTCAATTCTGATACGGATCCAAAGCCTCTTGTCTCAAATTTAGGAGAACTAAGTTTCAGTGTGTCCTCGCTACTTTTTGTCACCAGTTTCTGTGGGAAGTCATTTCCATCCCTTGACAGCCATCTGCCAACATAAGAGTCTCTGGACTTGGTGGATGTATGTCACGTTTCCATGTTGAATTCTTTGTTGAGTCGATCCAAGTTGCGCTCATCGCACAGTTCGTACAAGTCTGGACGTCCCATCAGGGAAATTGCCATGCGCAAGGTGGACCACACGTTGTCCGACATGACGGACTGCTCACCTCGTGGCCCGCGACCCTGGTGCTGCATGTTAAGTGCCATCAAGAAGTGCTCTACTGCTTCCCTGGAAAATGAAAAAAAAATTTTTTTTTCTCAACAAACAATAATAACAGTGTAACATATTTTCTCTATGGCTAAAATAAATAAAATAAAGAATTTGGTCAGAATTGTGTTTAACTGCATGTTAACCTTGAGGGGATGATCATACAAAAACAAGCAGAAACCAACCCAACTCACTTGTGTGCGCTGAGGTTGACACATGCAATACCCAGGTTGTAACGTGACCGTATGAAGCCCGGGGCTATCTGCAAGGCATGGTGGTAGGCGTCCACAGCCTCCTCACTGCGACTCCCATTGGCCAGGGTAGCACCGAGTTTGTTCCACAGAAGGGCGTCCTGAAATTGTAAGAAAAACGATTTTGTTGTCAGCCAAATCCTTGAGACACAAACAGGGAACTGATGAAACGAGAAAATATTAGTGTGGGTGAGTATTATTGTTGTTGATATTTATATCAGGTATTAAAATAGGGTAATTGTGTGTAAAAAAGTTGTGATGGCCTTGGGTAATTTTATCAAAAAATTCTTCTCAATTTTCAGAATTTTGTGAAAGCAATGCGACAGGAATTGAACTCCAGTGTCCTATTAGGGCAGGCTAGAGTAAGCCATTGTTCCTGTGTCAGTAATTAGGGCGAATATCACCTGTATAAAACAACAGCAACTGACTACTGTCATTTCTTAGCTGACTAACAGTCCCGTAACGACTTACCTGTGGGCGTACTTGTACCGCAGCACTGAAACAGTCCACAGCCTTGTCGTACTCCCCAGACAGGTTGAACAGGACCCCCAAACCACACTGGAAAACAGAGGGCTGAACTCATCTAACACATTTCAGACATCATCTAGCACATTCCAGTTTTCATCTAAGACATTTCAGGTCACACGTATCATAATTGATGTCGCAATTAACAAATTTTGGGTCATACATTTCAGTCCTTGAATCATAAACAAAACATACCAAGCAATGTTACATTAATCAGGTCACACCCAACTGATTTTTAAGTAATCATTCTTTAGGTCACAACTAACACATTTAAACATTTAAGGTCATATAAATCATTGTTTGGGTCACAACTAACACATTTAAGGTCTCAGGTTATCCATACCTGTACATCTGGGTCTATGTCCTGAGGGAACTGGCGAGCGGCCTGCAGGTACATGTTCTTCACTTCTTCATGTAGAGTACTGGAATAATAAGGTCCACTTAAAGACAACAGTACTTAACAAGTGCCCTGGTATATTCAGATTTACATTAAGTGAAACTTAGAAAACAATTAGACAAAACAACATTCAAAGTGTGGGTGCCCAGACGTGTGTGTGCGCCAGGCACGCGCATGTGCATGGATTTGTTCATTTCAGTGTGAGTTTCAATCATAAAACCAGCATATTATAAAGAACCTCCAAAATGACAGGTCATCATAATGCATGCACATGTACCATTGTCTGAATTCTGAGATTACCCTGCCTGCCAAATTGATTGCAACTGCTGGTATATAATTATACATGTCGAACACAAACATTAACACTGCCTGCATGTTAGCAAAGTTAAATCAGCTCTATTCTCAATTGCATGTGAGACCCCATAGCAATCAGTAGGTTACCAGATTTGGTCCACATTTTGCAATAAAGTGACCTATCGCTGAGCTGATACCTATCTGGTTGCTAGGGCTTAATCTGGTCTGATTTAGAACCAGCTTTACTTTCAAATTACTTACTTTGCTTACACTTCTGCACTTATGCATAAGCAAGGAACTACAATTTACACAAATATAAGACACCCAAAAACTTTGCCAAATTAAGCGGAATTCAACAAATTAGAGGGTACTACAACAACAGGAAGCACAGGAGCAAAAAGGTGAAGCTATGGGCATTAATCCATTCTTCAAACGAAAATCAGTTATTACAACTCCAATTAGTTGTTTTAATACCAGTCCCTTGATGAAAGCACCTTGTAGGTAATTGTTATATTGGAATGATAATAACTATGATTTTTGCCTGTTCAAAGAACATAGCTGATGAATTTTTATTTGAAAATACTAATTTTACAGCTATACCATACTTAGTTCTAGGTTAAATTTAGTAAAATTCTGATGTGTAAAAAAAAAAAAAAAAAAAATTATCTACCACAATTAAAAAAAAAACATTTATTGTTTTGTTATGTTGAGTACAAATGTGTTTTAATATCTGCCTGCATGTGGATGTGGGCATTTGCATGCGCGCACGTTGGTGTGCATGTGCAGAGACAAGTTACCTTGGCCAATATCTGCTGTGGACAGACGACACTAAAGTGACGTGATCATCGTTGTCGTAATCACTTCTGAGACAGGAACAATTACAAAACAAAACAAAAAAATCGAGATGAACACACATCTAAAACTATCATCTGTTTTCAATGAGTTTTGAAGATGATATGATAAAACAGAAGAAAAACAAAATAATTCTTGCTTTCAGATAAAGTAATTTGAACAAGGCAAAACATTAATAACATGAAAGGTACTTGTATATCTGTCACTCATGTAGTAAGGTAACTTGTCATGAAATACAAAGCAACATAAAAGCCATTTCCAAAGCCAAACAAAACTGCAAACCAAAACCAAATCAAGCAATGTTTAAATGCATAAAAGAGGACAATATAAATAATAATGAGAATAATAACATAACAGTCATGCCAGAACTATATACATAGGCAAATAAGGATAGCAAAAACAAAGGAAATCTTTAAGCAGTACTTCATATGATAAACACAGGGCAGTTGCAAAATATATTATAACACAAACTACAGACAACTAGGTTAATCATCTAATATCACGCTTGCATGCACACTATCAGTACGTTAATATGCCACTGGCTCTACTCCATGAGGGAGAGCACCCCGAGTCTCAAAGTCTCTTCAATATCAGCTTTCCACTACAAACCTATACCAATAAAACACATAGGGCTCATTCCCAAATGAGACTTTTGATCAATGTAGATCGATCCATATCCATGGGGAATATAGATGAATGCAGTTAAATTAAAAGATTAACACGCCACCTGGCATGGAGTAGAATACAGAAAAGATGGTGATTATAGGAGTATGTTGGTAATCACCCTGCATTTGGAGTTGGATCAATCCACGTAGCCTGATAGTGTAATAGGGAATGAGCCCAATAAAGCACAAGATACACTGTGAAACTCGGGGTGGCCAAGCAGGTCTGGTTTCAGTACCTATTAGCGAGGGAAGACACGTACAGGTTAGTTTTGTGTTCTCCGTCCAGCTGGGGGACTAAGTGGGTGTATTTGGGGTTATTTCTAAGCCACGTCTTCAGGGTGTCCAGGGCCTGGGGCTGCAGGGTCTCGTTGGTGTAACTGACCGCAAGGGCCATCAGGGCCGTCAGGTTCCCTTGATCAAATTCAAGGCACCTTAAATGGAAAAAATTCCTCTTGAGCTTATAACCAATATATTAAGTGTGTTAAAATCTGGGGTCTGTCACAATAGAACTCATGACTGATAGTCGTCTTTAATTTTTAGACCACAATTGTGGTTTTCATAGTGTTTACACTTGTCATACTAAGGACAGTGAATTTCAAGCAAATGTTAAACATTGTCAAATTCAGCAATTGGAAACGTATACTTATTATTCTTCACTAAATTCATCACTTCTTTAGTTTAACATTAAAACTTGATTGAATCAACTAAAACCATCCAGCTTTTTGACTATAGCAAAGCTTACTCCACAGCAAACTTAATAATTAATGCATTTATTGATTTGAAGGTATTACTTTTTGAGAGCAGCAATGGCAGCAGGCTCTTGTTCATTTTCCGCTTGAGTTGTCCCCAAATACTGCCAGGCCTACAATACAGAATTGCCGCGCACTTGATAAACTTTGTCATACATATAATCAAAATATAAAATATATAATTTTTAGAGATACAATGTAATGAAACTGTGGTACATCAGAAAGTAAATGGTGTCAATTGATCAGTTATTAGGACAAGAGCCCACTCACTTCATCAGATAGTTTAAAATTTTGGCACAGACTGCAACTTTCAGGGCTGAGACTGTCATTTAATGAAAAAAAAATCAGAAAATATGGAATGGGGTCCACAGGCCACCTAGGCAAACGATATACTCTGGCTCCCAAGAAGCGGCGAGTCGGTAAAAAAACATCCCTGAAACTGTGTGCATGATAAAAGTCCCTCCATTTTCAAACCCTCACCTCGACATGAGAGGGGTCCTTCTGTACAGCAGCCTCAAACAGGAGGACGGCATTGGGGATGTCCCCCTGCTTTAGCCTTTTCAGCCCCTCCTTGAAGGGGTCAGGGTGGTCCAGCAGGGGGTTGTCTTGCTCAAACTGGTAATTCTTGTACGGGTCAATTCTTTCATAGTCTGACAGCCAGGGGTGCTCATTTGTCCTGGAAGTGGAATGGGAGAGAATAAGATGAACGGAATGGAAGGGGAAAGAATGGCAAAGGGCGGGATGGAGCAGGGTGGGATGGGATGGGATGGAGTTAGATGGGATAGAGCAGGATGGGATGGGATGAGATGGGAAGGGATGTAGTTAGACGGGATGGAGCAGAGTGGGATGAGATGGTGTGGGATGGGATGGAAAGGGGTGGACCAGTATGGGATGGGATGGGATGGAAAGGAATGGAATAGAAAAGAGTGAGACAGAAGAAAAATGAACAAAACAGGATAAAATGGAATAAAATAGAATGGAATGAATGAATTAATGAATGCGAGACCTGAATAGAAATTCACGCAATGCACTCTCGTACCCTGCCATTTCCTCCCATTGTTTTTGCAACTTCTCCCAAAAGTCTGTGGTCTCTCTTGCTCCCCCTTCATTAAAGGCACCAAACTCTTCTGCCCACTTGTCTGACAAGGACTTCTCCTGAAAAGGAGGCAGGAGTATGTTAAGTTTCAAATATCTAGATTAATAAGAAAGTTGCCAACGCCAACAAGTTGAGTTGGTCTTTGTGAAACGCCCTCTAGTGCTGGTCTGGGTGACTAAAATACCTTTCTTAATCAGCAGCTATCAAATATATATAAACAATGAAGAAAACATTATTTGGAGCCAGCCAACATATGAATTAAAATTTAAGTCTTTTATATATAATATAATGGTCTCAAGTAAAAAGAAATTCTGTTAGGTCTTTGTTTCGTTTAAAAATGCTCATTATTAATTTTGATGAAAAAAAAAAAGGTGACTTTGTTCGTAAATCCTCAAATGAAAATAAGTACCATTTTTTCCTTCTTTAAATTCAAAGCAACCTTGTTTATAAATGCAAAAAGAGACCTTCACCCCCTTAGACACAGTGGTGCTAAAATCATGGTTATTATCTTATTACATATTATCTCCAACTCTATCAAAACCAAAATCAAATAAATTAATCAGAGGTGACATGGGAGCAGATACACTCAGAATCATGCAATCTTGCTGTCAGGGTTCTCTCTTCTCCAAGAAACAATGGGGTTGCACAACAAAGAGACCAATGGATAAGCCACACCACAGGAAACACAATCCTATCTCACCTAACACACTAACACAATTATGTCTCATCTAACTCAATTTCTTTTCCATTGTACATGATTCTTAAAACAACATCTGTCTAAGGTAATAGGATTAAGCTACACTGCTTATGAAACAAAACAAAAAGTTCTAAAGCTTTCGCAAAAAAGTTAGTACACAGAAACAACACAAGATACAACAATGCAGTGAAAGAATAAAAAAAATTATTAAGAATTAAAGTAAATCTACAGAACATAAAGGCTGCAAGAAGGGAAAAAACATATGCAGGAAAGAACACAATAGCAATGTGTGAGTGCATATCAAAAAGATCCCCCACAAAGCTTTTTTCAGGGTCCTTTAATCAGTATGCTGTAAGCAGAAACTATGGGCAAAGACAGAACACCTTTCTACTACAATGTCACAAAATGTTAAGGAACTATACATAAAAGAACCAGCCAGAGGAAAACAGAAGAACAAACAAATCTAAAGCAAAACTGAAACATAAAACAACACTATTAAATCAATATTGTAACAACAGGTGGGAAAGGAAAAAATTATAAATTATTCAATAGTTATCCAAATTAATTCTTAAAATTTGCAAAAAAAAAAAAAAAAAAAAAAAAGCAAATAAAGAAAATGCTGATAAATTCTGAGTAATTTTTTTCAATTTTTCAAGTCTCTTTCATTTTCCCCCTAAACTTTGTGCTAGTAGAGATGTACCAACTTGATTCAAAAAGTCCCATTTAAATGTTCCTTCAATCACCTGTATCAGACAAGTGTCCCCATCATATTTTGAATCAAAGGCTTTTTTTTCTCCTTTTTTCATCTTTTCTTAAAACTGAAATTAGTTATCTACCATTTCAAGATCACATGGAAAAAATTTCATTCTACATTCTGAAATTCAATTGAAGAATCTGATTTTTTTTCTTTTTGGAAAATACTTCTATTGGAAATCATATCTTCCTCATACAAATCATTTTGCATGATTCTGAGTATACCTGCTCATCGTGCACATTATAATCGTGCACCCATTCATTCGCTGCTCGCGCTTCATTCGTTACGCCACCCCTCTCTACGACCTCGTTGTCTTTAATGGTGACCTCTCCATCACCAAGCCTCCGGATGAATTTCATAAACTGGAAATCAGATGAAGATTTTTCATGCTAAAAAAGAGGCTGGGCTGGGTTCTTAAGATATTTAATAGACCACCGAGAGTGCCAAAGATTATAGGAAGTGTTCTACATATAATTCAACACCCCTGTCCCACTGAAGTAAGAAACCACAAATCACTTAATACAACCATTTCCTTTTCTTCATAAAATAACTACTTTATCCCACATTTTCCTTTTAAAATATTGGTGAAATATATGCTTTTTAATTAAAGTTTAAGCATAATTCTAATGAAATATACATCATTAAGACATACAATCATTTTAATTGATTCTTATGTTTTTTTAATATTCTTAGGTCATTGTATTTATACTATGAATTTAAAATGTTGACCTTTTGGTTAAATTTTTTAATAAATTACTATCACATAGCTTTCCTGTTCCATTTGATAGCCTAAGTCATCACTGCTTTTATCATCAAGTATAAACAAATACTTCTTTTAAATTAAAGGAAAATAATAAACATTTTCACATTCAAATGTTGAAATACCATTTTCTAATTCCCTTAAACATTCTTGTTAATATCAGGTACCCATCATAGTGAAAGGCAAGAATAAGTATAATTATAGTTGTCATGCATTTACTAAATTATAAACATATAACTGTTGCATCAAAGGTAAGCAGTTGATTACCCAAAAATTATTACGGTAATATGCCAAACAATCCGACCAAGATTAATTAATTAATTTCATGGAAATGTCAGTTTGGTCAAATTGATTAAAATACAGCAAATGGAAACCTTTGATATCGTCAGATTGTTAGGGGCATCTGCTATACTATATATATACTATTATACTATACTATAATTTAACAAAATACACACAAGAAGTATCTGTTTACCCATACTTTGGAAAAAAAAGAACATATCATATTGCTATTCTGATATTTAAAAAATCAAAACACAAAAGACAAGTTATTTGCCCATGAAATTGCATCTCAACACTGGATCAAGATATGAAATTAAAGAGTACACTTCCCAAATATTTTAACATGTACCTCGGAGTTTGCCAACTTAGGATCTGACACACTGCCAGCAAATTCTCTGGCCGTCTTGGCTAACTCGTCCTCATCCTCTTGGCGGTATTCATCCCCCCACTTCTGTTCGCTTAAGACATCTTGTCCATACTCGTCTGTCCTGTGTAACAGAAATAAATAAAGCAAATAAATTACCCACCTTATGCTTCTCAATAATACAAAACATTTTCTCAATCATTTAAATGATCTGAACAACTTATAGTAGAGCAGCCCCTAACACATGAAGGTTGCCAAGCAAACAATATACACAGAATATCGGTATATCTGGCAACTCAGGAGTTTAACAATTAATTATTTTCTCAGAAGTATTTTACCATGTCCGGTGCTCATGTTGGTCTAAATAATCCTGTGCCCACTTGGTTTCGGCCAGTGTCTCAGGACTATGTGGGGGTGGATGCTCCGACAGGAACTCAGTGGACCACGCATGGTCATCTAGCCCTACTGGATGTTCTGTGGCCAGAAACTCTAGTGCCCAGTTCTCTTGTCTGGCTAGATCTGCCACTCCTGGCCCTGAGAAGCAAGTAATTTGAATAATAAATATATATAAAATATTTTTTTTAANTCAATTTGGCTCATGGACTAAAATACTTCTTTTAAATTAAAAGAAAATAATAAACATTTTCACATTCAAATGATGAAATACCATATTCAAATTCCCTTAAACATTCTTGTTAATATCAGGTACCCATTATAGTGAAAGGCAAGTATAAGTATAATTATAGTTGTCAAGCATTTACTAAATTATAAACATATAGCTGTTGCTTACCCAAAAATTATTACTATAATTTCTTAACAAAATACACACAAGAAGTATCTGTTTACCCATAGTTTGGAAAAAATAACATATTATTCTGCTATTCTGTTTTTTAAAAATCAAAACACCAAAGACAAGTAGTTATTTGCCATTAAAATTGCATCTCACGCCTGGATCAAGGTACAAAAGTATAACATTACTACCAATGCACTGTCCGAATATTCATATATAAATACCTCTGAGTTTGCTAACTTTGGATCTGACACACTGCCAGCAAATTCTCTGGCCGTCTTGGCTAACTCGTCCTCATCCTCTTGGCGGTATTCATCCCCCCACTTCTGTTCACTTAAGACATCTTGTCCATACTCGTCTGTCCTGTGTAACAGAAATAAATAAAGCAAATAAATTACCCACCTTATGCTTCTCAATAATACAAAACATTTTCTCAATCATTAAAATGATCTGAACAACTTATAGTAGAGCAGCCCCTAAAACATGAAGGTTGCCAAGCAAACAATATACACAGAATAGCGGTATATCTGGCAACTCAGGAGTTTAACAATTAATTATTTTCTCAGAAGTATTTTACCATGTCCGGTGCTCATGTTGGTCTAAATAATCCTGTGCCCACTTGGTTTCGGCCAGTGTCTCAGGACTATGTGGGGGTGGATGCTCCGACAGGAACTCAGTGGACCACGCATGGTCATCTAGCCCTACTGGATGTTCTGTGGCCAGAAACTCTTGTGCCCAGTTCTCTTGTCTGGCTAGATCTGCCACTCCTGGCCCTGAGAAGCAAGTAATTTGAATAATAAATATATAAAATATTTTTTTAAATTTTTTTCTGATTCTTTGAAAGATGTATCATCATTGTTGGGTATTTTATACTAATTATCATAATTTATGTAACCTAGGTGACAAAATAAATTTTCCCAGGATTCTCTCCTTTTGGGCTCTTGAAACGCTTATGGCACATAGTACATTTTACCATTGATTTATTAACTACATCTGAATCTGCCCTATAATTATGTCTAATGTTAAAATGATTTTATTAATTTTTTTGACATCCTTAAGCAAGCCATGCTTTCTCCTTAGATAAGAATTCTTCCCTTATATAAAAGACAATAAGCCATACTAAACCCAAATATCTATAGTCTTGTGCTTCTAACACGCTTGCAAAATGGGGCTCTTATGAAAATGAATTTGATAAATATATAGATAGACTATGTATTACGTAATTGGAGAATTCACCTCTTTGTGGGCCCTGTCGTAATCTGGACTTCTCAATGTCCTGCATCTCTTGCAGAAGTCCAGACATGCTAAATGTCTGTGGCGCCATCTGTCGATATTGTTCTTGGAGAAACTCCTGAACCAGCTGAAAATAGATTTTTTTTTTAATTATGAAAGTGAACTATAGTGGCCCAAGGCAAAAATAATGGCTAGCAACTGGATAAATTAAAAAATTTTACTCACCAAGTTAAAAATGTAATGGAATTTTTGGTGCAGGGCCAGTGGTAAGATAGCAGACTGACTAAAATGTCATAAAATCCTAATGACATACATAAAATGTATCTGTCAGTGATCATGAGTTTTGTAATTAGGAACATAGAAAATTCTATAATTTTAAGGACTGGCAACCAAATGCCATAAAATGGCCCAAAAACTGACCTCTTCTTCCCTGGCCTCTCCAAAAGGTCTGCTGACCACTCCAGGTCGTCTGGCATGCTGGAACCCTTCCTAAAACACACACACACATATATATATATAGAGAGTTAAACTGTTATTTTTATTATTATTATTATTATGAAAACCAATCCTTTTCAAAATTCTTTATGTTTCTTTTATATTTCTTAATATAGTTAGAGAAAATTTTTTTCACCAAATGTGATTTGACTAATATCGTGGACTACCTGTATGTAGCTAAAACAAACTTAAGAGCACACGCCCACATGCGCAGACACACACACACACACACACACACACACACACACACACACACACACACACACACACACACACACCTACCTGTCGCAGCGACTTGTCCTGTGTGAAGTGTGTGGTAAGCTTCATGAGTGGGTTTGCAGCACCACACTCCCCTTCCACCAAGTCCCGCATGGCCATGATTGCACTTCTAAAATATAGCTCTACATTTTTATTATTTTTTGAAACAGGTTTAAGATCTTATCATAATAATTATACATTAACAGTATCTTTATTTATCTTTCAGTATTTAACTCATGTAGTGGATCTGAAAAACATCATTAATCGGGGGGGGGGGATGAACTGCCCATTTTTGCTGGAAAAGCCTAAGGTCCGCTATTGGTTAAATTTAACTTGGTACACAAAGCTTATACAGTGTAGGTTTCATAAGATAAGGAATCGCCTTTGAAAATTGCTGGCTATGGGCCTGACAAAGCGAAGGGTAATTCAACTTTTTAGTTAACACTTGCATGAGTTATTTTGAAGGCATACTGCATAAGTCTCCAATATTTGTTCAAAGCTGAAAGGATTGGCTAAGTTTAAAGTTCACGGGGGAGAACCACACGTACATCATCACCAGTTACTACTTGAACTTTTGGGCTAATTTTGAGAACTTGCGTCTTGTGCCAAGTTCGGAAATATTGAAAAATTTTTATTATGTGATATAGGTCCTTGACACTTAAACCAGTCGAGGAATTAAAACCAGAAGACACCAATCCTATATTACTGTCAAACGGGTCACACTGACAGTGATCCCACAATTTGACCCCAACTTGAACCGTTATCGTTAAATGCGACAGACTTCTCACTTTTCACCCTTTTCATTTTGCATGCTTATGAATACTCTTACCTTGAACGTCTACCAGAATAAAAGGCGAGTTTCAGGGCGTATAATTGGTCATTTCCCCCTCTATAGTAAGTTATTCACAGAGCTACATTGGATTACGTGAACAGTAACGTCTTGCTTTCAATGTGATGCTGACTGAAGCTTAAAAGCATTTCATGACAGGCTTCAAGATGGCGGAATATGTCACTACAGACCAGTGAGTGGAAAAAACCTCAGAAGTAAGCTTTCCTGCATATACGTATCATACCTCTGTAATGATGAAACTTTTAAGTTACATAATTTATCACATTATTATTATTATTATTATTATTATTATTATTATTATTATTATTTTAATATAAGGTGGAAATTTGAGATAAAGAACATTGGTAGAAGTTCAAGAGTGATTCCATGTTTTCAGCAAGACAATAAGCAGAGTGGCTTTCAAAATTATAGACGTCAACGGATTCATAAAGATGTAGTTGTTTCCAAAACTTCACCCTGTCTTTCATCTACAGAATATTTTGCTTATAATACGTACCCATTTATTGGATTTTGACTGTGCTCTAGCTGATATTCTGCTAAACAACGATCCACGTACTTCACCTGCATCTGAAAATATTTTCTAATTGATAAAGCAATTAATAAAAAAATAAGCAATATCATTTATTTATTTATTTATTTATTTATTTGTTTGTTTGTTTATTTATTTATTTATTTATTTATTTATTTATTTATTTATTTATTTAATATCATTTAATGAAATTCAAATGCCTACTACTATATATATAACATATACTGTTATATTTAAAGTAAAACTTCCCCTTGCAGAAATTAACATGAATGGCTGGGCATGTAGTACAAGTACAGTGTAGCAGTACTATACTTTATCGTTATCATTATTATATAGCTTTATTTAAAATTGATAATGCCTCAATCATATCATATAATTGAAGGGAAAAGTCAGTTGAATATTCCTTGATTACATTAAGGGCACAAACACCTTCAATTTAAATATTCATTATAAATTGTCATCAATAAATGAAAAAGTAACAGCATTCACATGTAGTTTTACACTAGCTACAATTATAATGACATTGTGTAGTATAAATTGAATTCCTAAAATGTTTATTTATTTATCAGATTATCTGCTGTAATATCATTTAAAACTGCTATAAAATTACTGTGCACGTTTTCACTTGAAAGAAGTATAAATGGCAATTAAAAATTTCTCTGGCCTGAGATGACATGCATGGTCACCTTATGACCTGATATGATATGTCTCCAGGCTGCAGCCAATGATAGCCCTTCTCGTGGCCTGAGATGCCACATCCGCCATTTGCAAAATAAAGATTATCTTGACCAGTAATGCCCGACCTGATATGGTCTGTGCCGTACAGTGTTCCGGAGAAGAATGGTATATTGTTGTTTTGTTGAAAAGAACTAACATCAATCATGGAACTTGGTCAATAATATTGTAGACACATTTGCGTTGCATATTAAAGTGTGCACGATATAAATCCATGAGCATAAGTACGCACCGATGATAAACTAAAAAAATCCGCCAGTTTTAAAAAGGGAGCTCGAGAAGCGAAAGTGAGCACGGGATGATTTGTGAGCGTAAAGATGGTTTAGATCTGACAGAAGTAGAGAACCTGTACATTAAAGTAAGCAGCATATGATTCACTCTGAATAACCTGCATTTACTTTAATAACCCCTGTTTGTCTGTTTGTTTATACAATTTTCAAATAGATGTACATGTAGGCGTGAGGGTGGTTTTCAATATTAAATGGACAATTTCAATTACCGAAAGGATTTCTCATGACATCCTTTCAAGAAACTGTCATCCAGGGATTTTGAGCATCGGTTGATAAAAATTTGAAGAAAAATAAACAAAGAAAAATGCCTGTCCTCAACTGGAGAAAAATATTGTATGTTTGAAAGCAAAAGATGTTCGAAAACAAAAGAAGAAACAAATATTTGATTTCTTAATGATCAGTTATGTATCCCCAGTTGTGCCTTGTGTTTAGTTAGGCTACACAGCAGTACAGTGTGAGCTATGTGTGGTGCGGGGGAGGAAAGAGAAGAATGACAGCTCCTGGTGGAACGACAGCACAAGACAGGTATATCTGTGTCAGGATTTCATATATCTTTATAAGCTAAATGTTATGTCTTTTATTCTCTCTCATTTTCCCCTTATTGCATTGTATAGCATTTGTAACATTACGATTAGGCCACAGCAAACAAATAAAGTAATATAGGTTTCAGGTAAGCAAGTTATATATTGATAATTTATTATTATTGTATCTCCTCATTATTTATGCTGTACATGTACATTCTAATCTGTCGTCATATTTTTAGTTATTGTACATATGAATTTATGGATTTAAAAAATCTATTTAGCAATCTTTTTTTTTTTTCAATTTAATAAATAAATTCAATTTGATTTCTCACTTTGTTACAGGAGACTCTGACCCTGTTGAAGCCTGTATTACAAGACTGGCAGGACAGTCAGCGGTGGCAGACCAAACCCAAAGAAGAACAGAAAAATAAGAAATTGCCTGATTGTGTGACTGGCGAATTGAAAGGTGAATGGCACATGGTCAGAAACAGTTAATTTAAACTCAGTGTATTTTTAATAAAGTGAAAATAATGAATCAAACTGTAATTACAGTTTTCACAGATTGAATTTGAAGAACTGATTAGTTAAATGTTAAAACTATGAAATTTTTTGTGAATGAGTGAATGAATGAATGAATGAATGATTTGTTGTTAATTTTTCCCAGATATATTGTGAAATCAGAAAATCGATTTTGAGAGCAAATCGGAACCGAAAAGCAAAGTTTTGGAAATAAAAAATGCAGGAAAAAGTCAAATGACCTTAAGTACTATCTAGTTTAAGTACCATAAGTTTAACTAAAACTAGTAATTACCAAGATGAAATAGCAATTTTGGTCCTATTTTCTTGGTCAAATATGAGAACTTAGTCATATCTTTGAATTTGTACATACATTTAGGTATGGGTTATAATATTCAGTATACTGTGAAAAAATGCTCAAGACTTCAGCACAGCCTTCTTCTTAATGCTAAGCAAGGTAAGTATCTAATAGATGTTCTGGAAACTGTCTAGATAAATTTTTGATTTGATATACAGTAGTTAAACAATAATCAAGTTAGCCAAAGTTATCAAAGATGGAAATGGCAAGATTAATTTCCCTTTTAGGATTTTCCTTTTTACCACAGCTTGTATGTGTGAAAGAGAACTTAAAAGTTGCTTGGTTTTTGTATGAAAAACTATCAAGGTTTTACTGCCATATGACAACACATTGAAATATATATTTTGAAGTCACCATAATGTTAAAAGATTGTAACTCTGAAAGCAACATTGTTTATCTATAACAGATATGCTTATCTCACTCTACAATCTTTTCATTTATCAATTAGACACAAATAATGCAAGGCCTATCAGTTATTTTCAAATTTTTAATATTTAAACATGAGCATTTCAATGAGTGATAGATCAGTTCATATTAGGAAACTTGCTGATTGAAATTATCAACCCGTTACTTTTTTTTTTACCATCACCAGAATCCAATGGGAACTTTGACTTGTCACGCATTCTGGTGAGCTCAGCTAACACTACACAAGAACCATATATTTTGAAGTATAACATTTCTTAGTCTTTGGTGTTAATACAAGGTGCTGTTTTTTTTTTTTTTTCAGATGGAAACCAGAGAAAAAGGATGTCTTATTATATTGGGAGGTGTAAAGTGAGAGCAGTTGTCAGTCAGGACTGTCATGTGGCAGAGACGGTAAATATTAAATAGCATAACTTGGACACTGGCACTGTTAAATTTGTTCCACTTATGATATAATTTAAAATTAATGTTCACAGTGATTTTAGGTTATACCACAGAAAAAAATCTGTTTCATGACTTTTATTCTAGATAAAAGTTAATTTAAGTTATATGGTGACAACTTCTGTAGAGTTACCTGAAGGCTTGTGTATGTTAATTTTTTTTGTAAAATTACCATGTAGATTAGATATGAATAAATTAAAGATCAGTAGCATTGGGTTGCCGTAATTTTTGAAATTGGACCTCATTTAAATTTATCAGTTAAACTGTTTACAGCAGGCCAACTCTTAATTAAGCTTGCTGTTTTCCCTACAAAAACAGGGCCAGTGTTCACAGCTCAGTGGATATTTCCAGCCAGGCAAAGATGCTGCCAGCAAGACTAAAGTTCAATTAAAAGAAATGTAAGTATTATCACAGTTTGTTATGTTAGACATTGTTTCGAGGCAATTTAAAAAGTAGTGTGACCTTTATTTCAGATTTAATGCTATTGTTCTTTCAGAGTAGACAGAGGGAAAGCTAAGAATATCAAGAAAAGGGTAAAGAAGACAAGAAGTACTGCGAGCAAAACAGGGAACCCTGAAAAATCTGCCCCCAGGAAAGACAGTAACCAACCAATTCTTTCAGCCACCACAAATGATAGGGGCATTGAAAACCTAGGTTCAGGTGAAACTAGTACAGATTGGAAGCAGATATCAGAAGTGAATTTAGAGAGTGCAGACACACAAGCTGGCTATGTCAGTGAGCAGTCTTCTAGCGGACAGCTGTCATCTACAGGAAGTCCATTTTCAGCACCATCTACTAAAAGGGAGTTGTCAGCTCCATTTAATGGAAGTCGGTTGTCAGCGCCATCTATTACAGGAAGTCGGCCTGGGAGGTCATCACCAGAAAGTTGCCCAGTAGCACCATCTGCAGCGAGTGTTCCTTCAGCGTTATCTGTACGAAATCAAATATCTAAAGAAAGTCGGCTGACGGTGCAGCCAAAGCTTACAACACAACCTAAGGAAGACAAGTCCCACTCTACTAATGCCCCATCTGATCCACAGGGCGTAGACAACATTGCAAAGAGGACATTCAAGTTCAGGAAGACTAAATTATCCACTCAGACTAGACTGCCATTACTTTCCCCCGATGTTCCGGGTGAAGCATTTGAGAAAACACAATCAGGAGATGAAGAAAATAGTGAGCAGTCGCAGAGTCGCATTGTGGGGTATCACACTGAGAAGGCTGTTACTGCCAATGCCTTTGCTTTAAGTCATCCCCAAGCAACACAGCAAGCAAATAGTGATAAACCCATCAGACAAAGCCATTCAGTGTGTAAGATGAGTAGTAGTTTGTTATCAGAGGGAGAGAAGATGTCCAAGAAACACATCAAAATTACAAAGAGACTTCGCAACCATTCCAAACAACAGCATCATGTACAAGAAAGTTTGGAGCATGTGTCTGATTTTAATAATGATGATGTAAATGCCTATGATGCTGACCCCAGAGGTGAATTAGAAGAGACAGAGGAAGACAGCAAGTCCTCCACTGTATATCCTTCCAAGAAAATCAAACTATCCAAACAGAATGAAGAACTGCCAGAAATAGACTTGAGCCAGAACCATGATTCGTTGCAACAAAAGCATGGTAATCAAACCAAATTGTGCAATAAGAAACAAGAGACTGTATCAGACAAACAAATGTCTTTTACTCCTGATGTAGAGAGCACTGGGCATACATGTAGTTCTCGAAATGTAGTAAAACCTCACAGTGATGTCGTAAGTCTGGAGAGGGAGACAGGGTCCCCGAGCAGGATTGGTGACGGTGCAGAAGAAGTGATTCATGTTGAAGATGACTCTGATGTGGATGCCATGGAGCAAGATATTAGAAATATGAGGTACGTAGTGTAGTGTTGATATTACAAAAGGAGGCAGCACTATATAGATTAGAACTGATTACAAAAAAGGAAAGCAATTTAACATTGTACTGAAATTATCACAGGCGGCTGCATGTTCTAGCACTGACAGTACAAAAGGGGGAAACAGTTTATAGATCAGGATCACACATACGCAGTGCCTTTGCTGCTAGGTGTTTAAATGTTTTAAGATAAATATAAAATCATTACAGTAACTGTATAACAATGGAATTACTGAAAGGGCCAATACATTAGTCCAACTGACACAATCAATAATTTTACATTACTGATATTACATCACAAAAGGGGGAAACAGTTAACATATTTAAATTTGAACTGAGAGTTAGATTTGCAGCCTAAATGACGGTGAGTTCTTTCAGGAATGTGAATCAACTTCAAGATGATCAGCTGAGATACATGGTGGAGAAAAATGAAAAATATCTGAGGCAGATCTTTGAAGGCAAGGTGAGAAACAGGGAAACATTGGGGTCTTGCCTTAAACAATATTGATTTGTGCTTAGGCTATAACTACTATTAGACCCCATGCCCATACCCATTTCCATCTAACAGGATCGACCCATCTATTGAAGCTGCTAAATGAAATACCCCTAACAGCTTCAAAATAGCATTTCCTTTATCTCATTATTAACAAATATTATTTAAAGCATATTATGCCACTCGTGTCTTTTTTCTTTGATGTGTAATATGACTAAAACCATTATATGATTAAGCAAAAAAAAAAAAAGTTAATTAAACCTAAGATCTGTTTATTAGATCTTAGATTAAACTTGATTCTGATTTTCAGAGGTCCTGTCTTCGTCATGAAGAGTACAAGAAAGGCGGGGTGTCCAGATGTGAGTTGGAAGATGGAAAATAATTGATATACAAAAGTTTGAAGTTGACAATGGAATTATATGTAATAAGTGAAAAAAACTCATAGAGTACACATTTGTTTTTATTGAAAAGCAAACATCTTACTCATTGTTAATTTCAAACGTGGTTAACAAAGAAATTTGTTAACATGCATACTAGTATAGCACGCTTTATGTATTATGAGTGAAATTATAAAATCTGTAGTTAATACAAATGTGTGGCTAGGAGCCCGGACACTGCTAATGTACAAACTTATTTCTGGTGATCTGAAACTTGAGCTGGATGGCATTGTTTTTATACAAACATTTAAGGGATAATAACTCTTTGTTTTGGCCAAAAAATAAATTTTCCTGGAGTAAACAACAATTTTCCCACACTGAACAATGGTTAATGAATCCATTTTTACATTCAAAGTTAGTCTTTGGTTTTTTTTCTAAAAAGATTGTGTTTTTGTTATAATCTCTTAAAAGATTATAACAGAGGATAGCTATCAATGGAGGTCACCTGGTCTAAAGACAAGCTCAGATATCAAAATAATAGCTATAACTGCCATTTTTGTGGTAAAACAGAATATATTATATTTCTATGAGTTGTCATAATGTTTTTATTGTGAAATATAGATCGCATACGAAGAGTTATTATCCCTTTAAGTTTTTAAGTGTATGAAGTTCCATAGACATATTTGTAAATGTCTGGACTAAGTGATAAAGTTTCCCTATGCAAGGTCCTTGTAGAGGGAACGTTTTCTGGCTGAGCAAAAATTTAAATGCCCAGTGTGAATTATTTGTGTATCGATGAGCTGATGTTTGCTTATAATTGTACAATAATCTGTAGCACACACACACATACACACACACACCAGTTAAGANGATGCAACAAAAGCATGGTAATCAAACCAAATTGTGCAATAAGAAACACGAGACTGTATCAGACAAACAAATGTCTTTTACTCCTGATGTAGAGAGCACTGGGCATACATGTAGTTCTCGAAATGTAGTAAAACCTCACAGTGATGTCGTAAGTCTGGAGATGGAGACAGGGTCCCCGAGCAGGATTGGTGATGGTGCAGAAGAAGTGATTCATGTTGAAGATGATTCTGATGTGGATGCCGTGGAGCAAGATATTAGAAATATCAGGTACGTAGTGTAGTGTTGATATTACAAAAGGAGGCAGCACTATATAGATTAGAACTGATTGCAAAAAAGGAAAGCAATTTAACATTGTACTGAAATTATCACAGGCGGCTGCATGATCTAGCACTGTGATCAGGATCACACATATGCAAGACCTTTGCTGCTAGGTGTTTAATTTTTTTTAAGATAAATATAAAATCATTACAGTAACTGTATAACAATGGAATTGCTGAAGGGGCCAACACATTACTCCAACTGACACGATCAATAATTTTACATTACTGATTGTAGCGATTTGGGGGAGAAAACACCAAGGCTCGACCAGGACTCGAACCCGGGACTCTCGCAAACGGTACGACCGCTCTTACTGACTGAGCTACCGAGCCCGGGACAATCCTGGCCAGCCACTGATATTACATCACAAAAGGGGGCAACAGTTAACATATTTAAATTTGAACTGACAGCCTAAATGACAGTGAGTTCTTTCAGGAATGTGAATCAACTTCAAGATGATCAGCTGAGATACATGGTGGAGAAAAATGAAAAATATCTGAGGCAGATCTTTGAAGGCAAGGTGAGAAACAGTGATACATTGGGGCCTTGCCTTAAAACAATATTAATTTGTGCTTAGGCTATAACTACTATTAGACCCCATGCCCATACCCATTTCCATCTAACAGGATCAACCAATCTCCTATTGAAGCTGCTAAATGAAATACCCCTAACAGTTTCAAAATAGCATTTCCTTTATCTCATTATTAACAAATATTATTTAAAGCATATTATGCCACTCGTGTCTTTTTTCTTTGATGTGTAATATGACTAAAACCATTATATGATTTGAAACAACTCCAAGACGGACTCGACTACAACAACTAACTTTATTTCTAAGTCTGCTGATATAAATACATTGTGTGTCTACAGATCAGAGGGATCACTGCTGTCAAGTGTGTTTATACTACGTACATTAGTGAGAGTGCTATTTAATGATAATTGATGACAGAGGGTTGGGGTTACTATAAGCTTGACCGATAGTGTTAAGAACCATAACATGATTAGGCAAAAAAAAAAATGATTAAACTTGATTCTGATTTTCAGAGGTCCTGCCTTCGACATGAAGAGTACAAGAAAGGCGGTGTTTCCAGATGTGAGTTGAAAAATGGAAAATAATTGTATATACAAAAGTTTGAAGTTGACAGTGGAATTATATGTAATAAGTGAAAAACACTCTTGTAGTACACATTTGTTTTTATTGAAAAGCAAAAATCTTACTCATTGTTAATTTCAAACGTGTTTAACAAAGAAATTTGTTAACATGCATAGACCTCGACCCCGGATTATGGAACGATATTTGACGTTTTTCGGCTTTGCACAGTCTGTGTATAAAAATGAACGTAAACTAACCTCTAATACTTTGCATGTAGCTACGATAGAGCTTTATTTACTATCTTGTAAAGCTTAATCCATATGATTGGGGTTACTGTTGGAGAAAAACGCTAATATAATGGTCAACTTCATGTTGTTCTCAAACCCCGGATTATGGAACAAAACCGGAAGTGCGCAGATAACGTTGCGTCAGAGTTTGTTAGATAAGATGCAAGGCAATATGTAGCGCAGGAGGTCTATAAAAGACAATAAAACGGCAAATGCGCTTTATATTGCGAATATCAATGAACATAACAGCAGTTGTTATTCATATTTAGTTGGTCTTTTACTTTTAAACACAAATATTGCTAAAAAATGGAATAGTCCACTCATTTACCACTGCCTTGATCGGATTTTGGAACAAAACGAGAAGTTGCTGCTACGTCGGAGTATCGAAGCGATATTAAGTAGTCTGGTCATTTAAAATGGCAAATTGAAAATACTGTATTCATTATTATGAAAGAATAATATTGATATTTCTCATTTTAAAAATCATCGATCATTCATTTGGGCAGCCTTCAGGTAGGCCTACATGTAACAACACCAGTAGGCCCTAATGATTCAAAATAAAATCTTTAATTCATGATAACAAAACTAGCAATTAACATTAACAGCTCACACACCACCAACAAATAATTTATCGAAAGTGTGACAAATACAATAAAAATAAATAAATAAAAAAAGACGGAGAACTCATGTAACAGACTAGTGCTGTGACCTAACAAAGAGATGAATGTATTCAGTTTTTTAACATCGCTGACCTTTATAAAATGCATTAAACATTTAACTCCATAAAACGAAATCACTGCAATTTATTCTATTATTATACTGTCTCGCAACTCTGTTCACCATATGGAATAATAATGTGCGTTTGTGTTATGTACGTATGTATGTTTATTTTTACGTTGCGTTGTTTGTAACGCACAAGAACATATCACTTGTAGGCCCATGTAGGCTACTTTTGCGGTATAAATAAGAAAAAAAAAACAATATAAATCTTTAAAAAATATATAAAACAAAAGAACTCAATCAATGTTTCTCCTTTACTGAGATAAATTTCAGCAGATATAACACAGGAAAACGTTCAAAAATGTAGTGGTTTAAGCGCAAGTGAAATGTTCTTGCGCGTTAAGCCTAGGTCCCAAATACGTTTTGGATGCACGGTATTTTAGTTCCTTGCGTCCGGCTAGGACGTAGCTAGATCGCACGTAGCGGCTGTTGATCATGTCGAAAGGTTACTACGTGCTGTTTGCGTCTTCCAAAAGTCGCACGATGGATGTGCTCCTCACGCACGAACTCCCAAGTTTTTCCCATTTTTTTGGCCGTAGACCACACGTAGCAGCCCGTACGTTCGGTTGGGACCTAGGCTTTACAAACAACGCAACGTAAAAATTCTTTTTTCTCTCTTCTTCCTTCTTTTCTTTTCTACGTACGTTTCACCTCCAATGCTCTCTGTGCCTTTCGCTCTCGTAGGCTACCTCAGCCTTCTTCCTCTTCCTCTCCACGCCCGCTCTTCTCTTCTCCTCTTTCTCCATTCTTCGCTTAGCGCCATCTTCGGCTTTTCTCATTTTTTTCTACAGCTCTTCTTTTCTTTCTTTCTTTCTTTATTTCTTTCAAGTCTTTAAATAATGCTTTCTTATTATCCGATATCCGAACAAATCTTTATTTGAAGACAAAATTCATTTTCTCATTATTTTTCATTTATTTAGCATGTTTTTTATTTCACTATATTGCACCTATTTATCCTTCCCGGTTTTCTAAGGGACAACTCGGGATGTCGATTCATGAACCGACCCCACCAGCCGTTCGACGCTGAAAAGCCCATAGGCCTATCCCTTTGTTTTCCCACCGCCAGAGCAAACTTGCAGACTCCAAGTCTTTGGTGAGGGGAAACCCCCAGTCACTCATAATAAGGCAGTATTGGACTAGAGCTGCCTCATCAGAGTGACTGAGGGCCAACTTCCCATGACCACCTCCCTTGAGAGCACTTGTGGTATATTTAAGAAAAATAGAAGAAGAAGATACTGGATAGAGATAGTTGAAATAAGAAGTTTTAAAGACCTAAAACTCCCAGAAAAGGCGCAAACCTAGTAGGCCCTAAATGATTCATAAGTCTAATATTTTTTTTTTTCATCACAACAAAGATCAATCATGTGTCATTTGTGTAGGCCTACCTGAACTATGATTTAAAATGATCCTCTTTGGCACCTCAAATAGGCCCTATAGGCCTACGTGCCGCCTCTGATATTGAATAAGAGTGGGCCTATAATTTCCTCTTTGACATGCTGAAATTTATCGAGCATGAAAAAGGTCAGTAACGATTTTTTCTCTCATAATGTCAATACAAAAGTCAACATTAAGTGTTATTTTGTGAGAACAAATTTATTTATTTCACAAGTCGCTTGAGTCTAATAGCGCTCGTAGCGTTCTCTAACAGCAGTTTACAGTGAGCAGAAAGCACCCACAGCTATGCCCAACATCAAAGGCATTTTATGAGATCTTGGAATAACCTACTTCAACCTCTTGAAAGTGGATGTTTTGAAATAATTTCATTAAGCCGAGAACAAGAAATACAAACAATAGGCTAAGGGATGAGACAAGTTAGGCTACAATACTTATAGCAGTAAAAGACGGCCGTGTTTACGTCCACAGCGATCGATGTAGGCCTACCCGTAAACAGTATGAAAAAGTTAGAAATCGAGATCGGAAACTGTAACACGTGCAGACGAAAGCGGACGATAAACGGCTTTAAAACTTGCTTGAATAAACGTAAGTTCATTATTAATTTTATCAAATTTGAGAACAACGAACTTTCAAACGCTAACACTTCTATTGTATCAGGTCGTAACATGCGTCTGCATAGCGCGTTTGATACATTGTAGCAGACGCTTGAAACTTTCGTGGCAACGGGGATTTTTTACGCTCTGCATGCTGGGTAAAAAGAGCAAACTTCCGGTTTTGTTCCATAATCCGGGGTCGTTCCATAATGCGGGGTCGGGGTCTACTAGTATAGCACACTTTATGTATTATGAGTGAAATTATAAAATCTGTAGCTAATACAAATGTGTGGCTAGGAGCCCGGACACTGCTAATGTACAAACTTATTTCTGGTGATCTGAAACTTGAGCTGGATGGCATTGTTTTTATACAAACATTTAAGGGATAATAACTCTTTGTTTTGGCCAAAAAATAAATTTTCCTGGAGTAAACAACAATTTTCCCACACTGAACAATGGTTAATGAATCCATTTTTACATTCAAAGTAAGTCTTTGTTTTTTTTTTCTAAAAAGTTTGTTTTTTTGTTATAATCTCTTAAAAGATTATAACAGAGGATAGCTATCAATGGAGGTCACCTGGTCTAAAGACAAGCTCAGATATCAAAATAATAGCTATAACTGCCATTTTTGTGGTAAAACAGAATATATTATAATTCTATGAGTTGTCATAATGTTTTTATTGTGAAATATAGATCGCATACGAAGAGTAATTATCCCTTTAAGTTTTTAAGTGTATGAAGTTCCATAGACATATTTGTAAATGTCTGGACTAAGTGATAAAGTTTCCCTATGGTCCTTGTAGAGGGAACGTTTTCTGGCTGAGCAAAAATTTAAATGCCCAGTGTGAATTATTTGTGTATCGATGAGCTGATGTTTGCTTATAATTGTACAATAATCTGTAGCACACACACACACACCAGTTAAAATGCTGATAATGCTGATAATAAAGTATTGTTTAGGGCATTTATATTTTACCTCGGTGTATATACTGTGTTTTATCTTGACTGTTCCAGACAATTTGGACCACAACCAGGCCAGCCTGTGTGTGTACCTTGAGAGCCAGAATGATGCAGTGATGGAAACATTGATACAGATATTCTGCAAGAAGCACAACAAGGTACAGCAGTAACACATTGCCTGTACACTGGGCTGTATGTGCCTGTAACTTTTTAGTTCGCTGGTCTCTAGGAGAAAATCTGACCTCTGAAAATTACCATTTCCGATGAAAACTTACACAAAGTTGGTTATATAATTTATAGATGATAAAAAAATTAATCCAAAGCCACAGTCTGTTAAAATTTCCCAATTGGACTGGTCTAGTTAGCTTTGAAAGATTTTTCTTCTTGTCTGGGCAAGTCTGTCAGTCATTTGCCAGTAATGTATACTGGCACCATCTATAAACCAGCATTGACACTCTGGGCAATAATGCCTCTTAGGACAAATTGCAATCAGGTTTGAAATTACCAGTACACAAAAATTCCATTTTTTTTTCAGTACTTGGACTATCTGATGAAAGTTCTCCTCCCAGAGGCATTAATTAAGATCTACATGGATGTCCATCAAGTTGGTCATGCTGCTGCAGAAGAGGCCTTAAGGGCTGCCACAAAAAACAAAAAACTGTCGTTATAACCGTCAGCCACGTACCAGTGCCATAACTAGCTTGGGCTATTTGACTGTTTGCAAGGCTTCTGCAATGCACTACTAACTAGATTTTTTAATATTCAAAATGCTGTGGAATAAATGATTAAAATGTACCACCTTGGTGTGTATTATGTCTCTGATTATTTTATTTTCATTTATTTATTAACGTTTACTAAGTTTCACTTTACTCGAGCCTTTTAATTGATTTTGGGGAAAAAAATGAACGCATGGTATCTTAACTGAGCTAAATTTTTTAGGAAAAAGAGTCAGATGGGTAAAAGGAAGTTTTTAAGTATCGGGTGCACTGGCTCCTAGTAATGTGTTTTAGTCACAGATTTGTCTTCTCTAACGCAATCCTTCGTCTGCGATCAGTCTTACCTGTTATCGTATTGTTATTCAAATAAGACTAAGGGACAGGTATTCAGGATGCCACGCTGGAAGGCAGAGAATTTTAGATCGAGATGACGAACCTTGTGGGCGAAATGCGGCATGTTCAAAGCCACCTGCTTGACGTGGCGCCCACATATTGTAAGTAGTTTGTTATTTCATGTCTTTAATAACGGTTTCCAGTACGGCAGTGCAAAAATTGCCAGTCTGTTTGTAAGACGAATAATTTCATAATTTCTTTTCCTCGTGGTCTGCGCACAGCAAGTCCTCTACCCTGACTGAGCAGAGAGACGCCGACATAGCCGCTTAATTTTCATTTTCGTACATAATTTAAATATTATTAGCCTCGATAGTAGTGGTAATTAAATTTTAACTTAGTGCATAGAAAAGTGCAATGATATTCACATTATTTGAAAATGTAGTGCTATTTCAATGAAAGTAGCCTTTTCAAAGATGTCATTTCTTCTGTTTTATTTATTTATTTCTTGACTAATTTCAGTCGTCAGTGCACGCAAGAGACAAGGGAGTGGAGAAGTATCATTTCAGTAATACTGATTATGTGACAAACGCAATATACTTATTGACTGGAATGCTGTAGTCCTAGATCTAGAGAAAGTCGGTGTGGAAGGCCCTTACTCACCATGTTAAGATTCCAGTTGTAAAGAGGTTGCCAGCAAAATGTGCACGTACATGTGTACTAGTACTAACTGGTTACCTATGTTTTTTTTATCACACGGTTGTGCCAAAAAGAATAAGAGTCAACCAAACGAACCTTTATATTGTCTTTCATTTGGACCTGCAAAATACTTACGATAACACAACAAAAGAAAGTATTTCAAGATTTCAATTTATTTTTGATTATCTAAAAACCTGCACCATCATCTGCAGTGGGGGTGGGGGTGGGGGGGCAGAGGTGTCCTGACCCCCCCTCCTTTGGTTTCTGAAAAAACACACACACACACCAGTAGTCCCTTCTTGAAATTAAAATTTTAACTAGCTGAATCATAGTTGTCAACCGTACCAAATAGCCCTCCAAAACACCCAAAATTTCGGAGTCCCTTCAGCCCCGAACCCCACCCCAAGGGTTCGGGGGCCCGCTGAAGCTCCCCACCCTGTCATTCCTAAAATAAAACTGGATTTCCCCCCCCCCCCCCCCTTCAAATAATCCTGATCCGCCCCTGATCTATGATAATCTTGCTTGGCACCTTGCCCAGTGAACAAAACGGTTGCCAGCCACACCGGCACAAATTAAATAGCTTTTTAAGTTTTAATTTCTCGAGATCATTTTAAGGTAATTGAATTCAAGACATCTTCACTTACTTAGTTAGTATGGCGCGTAATGAAGAATGTCTTGAGTATCTGCGCTTACCGCGTCTCAGTTTTTCTGCTTTTTGCAGTAACAGTAAGGTCGGAGATGTGGGAAAGCCCTCATTACGCAGTGTGGTTGCTTGCCATACTTGTTTATTCTACTGATGGAGCTGTCACTGCATTTGAAGGTTTTTCCGTCTGGCATTTGGTATACCGTAGCCTCGAAACGCCCAAGTCCTGGGTGTGTTTCTATGGTAACTTGATAGAACGTGCCATTTTCGATCGAGAAGACTGTCTCATTTATGGAATATTTAGGCACTCGACCGTCATAATCAGAAGCCATTAAATAGGTCAATACTTTCGCATTATCTGGAGACATTTTTATGGCTGAAATTACTCGTTCTACTCTTAGGCGTTCGCATTCGTCCTTCTTCTCTATGGTCATTTTGTTTATTGTTGACAAAACCTCACTAGTAGCTTTAGTGACATCCGAGTGACTAATGGTTATATTTTCCCATTTTTGACACGCGCACCAATGAGGCTCTATCCCCGCATCAGCGCATGTCCGTTGAAGAGGAATCTCTTTAAAAAGACTGATGCCGCGTTTTAGTTTCCCTTTCTCAGTCTCTGAGTGCTTATTATAATTCAACATGTCCATAAAAGTGGCGTGTATATCAAACGGGCATGTCAGGCGCTTCGCATTGATAAGAAAATTTCTATAAGCCTCGGGATAAAGCTTTCGAAATTTCATAGGAAAACGAAATGAAAAGAAGGGCAAGCGTTCTTCCAGCTTTCCTTGAAAAGTCTCTCGCAAAATTCCAAAGCGAGCACCGTGATCTGCCATTAAAATAAGCACAGTTGTATCAAGATGACCATCTTTTTTGAGGTTCTTAAGAAATTCAGCAAGTTCTTCATCGGCGTTTTGAATTTTTGTGTCATGTCTATAATGACTATATTCACCGTGAAAACTAAAAATAAATTTGGGGTTGTCCCGGTACATCAAAAAAGCTTCTTTGATCCAGTTTAACTGGTTTTGGTGGCTGGACACGGAACCAAGGCAAAATCTCTGGAACATCTTCGATACTTCATTTTTTCTCAAGTAGAACACACGCATGTAGTGGTCTGTAGGTGTTTCATTAAACCCAAGCAATCTGTAATGAAAAGCCCCAAGGTTGGGTTCATCCTCAGCCCACTGAGTGATAAAGCCATGCTTTTTGTAATCCTTCCAGACAAATGGGAATCCCTCAACAGACACAGCACCGGGTTTCCCGCGCCTGGATTCCGGAAGCTCCTCTTCAGTGAGACCCGTAAGCATAGGGAAAAGCGCGTGTGTGGTACCGTCACCAACGATGTTGTATCCTTCGAGAACAGTTCCCTTCAGGTCCTTGGTGAAGTACTGATAAGTCTTGGGCAGGCTGCGCATCCAAGATAGACGAGAAACGCTATCGTAGCCTATCATTAGAACATCAAAACCCATGGCGTTCCGCGCGCCTGGTGTGCTGTTGGCACGTGCGAAAAGAGATGCGTTGTACGCTATCCCAGACACTAAGTTGGTGTAATTCTCTCCGGTGGTTGGAGAGGTACAGTGTACTTCAGAAAAATCAAACTTTAACGGATCTCCATCAATGAAGCCTGTTTTACTTCCCAAGCCCACGGTGTAGTCATCAATGCCCCGTAGTATTGGAACATACGAGCAACGAACCGTGCCCTGGCTCTCGGTAGCTTCTCGAGAAATGCGATATTTTCCATTTTCGACGTAAACCCAGTTCGGGCGTGCATCCCGGTTACATCGCACTGTATCCACTTTCTTCCTAAACGCCATGATTTCAGGAGGGAAGAGTTTAAGATCAGGCGGAACACAATCTGGCACGTCAGGTTTATTAGAGGACGCCTTGGCAATAGGCCGGTTTTTTGACTCGTCAAATTGCCAATTTATACTGATATAAACAGCAGTAAATAGTATTGTCACACATATGTAAATAGAAAACGTCCTTGATAATGCCGTTGGTTTTCTGTAAGGCACTAGGTAGAAAACTGTGGACTTCATGTCAACACCAGGAAATATGCCAACAGCTGCGTGATTATTTTATTTTGTTTGATAATTTCCAGCGGCCTTTTCAAAGGTAAACGTGAGGTTTCAGAGATTGCTAAGACAGTGACTAGTTGACCCGTTTCTCCCAAAGGGGAATGTTGTGACGTTATCGTTGTCTTTTTGTGGAGGAAGTAAATTGCTCACCTTTGTCAGAATGTCTTCACGGAAATAAACCATACCCTGTTTGCTCGATCAAATAAGAATGTCTCTTTGTCTCTTCCCAAGGAAAATATGCCTCAATGCCTCATATTAACATCCAGATGAGATGTTCTAGTTTCCTATCCCCAGTACTTTTCTGTCCCAATTTTTGGATAGGTCGTCTGCTATACATATAAGTGAGAGTGAATGCTATAAATCCAAGATATTAATAGGATGGAGCCTTTGTAATATCAAACTGTCTGACTCGGTTATATACATATAGTGTATATGACCGCAAGGGTCAGGGGTCATGACCGCAAGGGTGTCCAGGCTGCCATTGAACTTAGGCTATATAGTTACAAACGTGTCCGTGTCTGGCAGGCTCTGCTGATGATTCATAAAATCGTAGCTATTTATCCAATGAATCTACGTTATATATCGATTAATGATGCTTATTCAATTCTTCGGTGAAAGAGCGCATCCTGATTTAAGATCAGATGGCACCGTCTTCCTACGTGGAATGTACACGTATTACGTTAAGGTCACAATCACCTACATATGTGTCGACGTGCTCTGAACGTTTAGGCCAGGCAAGATTGATAAGTTGGTTTACGAGTGGAGATTCTCTGAAAACAGGTTCGGCAGACGTTTCTTTTTTTTTTTAATGATAAATGATGCTTATAGAAAGCAGGATCAGTAGCACTTTTAGTAACTCTATAGCCCTTAAAATATCAACATGCATTTAAAAATTAAACAAACAATTTTTTTAATTAAAATACTAGGTACACGAAAATGTGTTTAAAATCGAAGATGCACGAACGCACATTCAAAAAAGCGGCTAGGTGAAACACCATTTGCAACATGAAAATGGAGCTAAGATTTATAAACTCTGAAATACAGCAGATAGCAAATATTATTTGATTTCTGGTGAAAAGAAACCCACGAATTATCAGAAAGGGTTTTTTTTCTATGAACGATAGATATTAAATCTCAATTTTGTTTCAATTGTAAAGAGTGAGGTGATAAAATTTTTGATAAAAATCGATTTCTTTAGGGTCGGTCGTGCTCGTTAACCAATTTATCAATTTTGCCTTGCCTCAATCTGATTTTTATTGAATCATTAACTCACTTCTTAGACGCCCTCATAAGTGCCCGACGTTTTGCTGTCTTTAATGAATAAATTATAATATCTGCGTTGAAGTAATCGTTAATCGTATGAATGTTTACCAAAACATATGAACGGATATGAATAGTTGAAACTGTGTCATTTTTACCCGAAACCAATTCTACAACTTCTCACTGCCACTTACTGTAATTCCCCTTGTATTCCCAAAGCACACACGGAACAGGGGCGGATTCAGAGATATTTTCTGACAGTCTTCCAAATTATCTTTGTTGATCCATTCTTTATTTTTGACTGTCTTCCTACAGAAAAACTAGATACCCGTTAATGTAAACTTGAAAATATGACCGTCATCCGGAAGACCCAGAAGACGGCCTAAATCCGCCCCTGCGGAAAAAGTGATCCATAAACACACCAACTTACTTAGGCCCCAATTTTAAGCGCGTGCATTGAAAAGCTCACCAAACCGGGCCTACATGTAAGAAAGCTCAGCACATGCGCTATATTGTATGAGCTCATTTGAGACAAAGAAAGTCAAGATATGTATATTGTGGCTACTCGGTCTGTCTGTGCCATAAAATTTTCTAACTGGCCAACCAGTTTTCAATTATTGTTGGCAGGTTCTTTATTACTCGGCAAACGGTGTGCGACTGGTAAACTTAACCTTGAATGTGGTCTTTAACACCCCATTTCCATAGATTAGATCGACCTAACTCCCTGGGGGTTCACGCTAAATAGCTGTCAGCCGGGCGGACACGAAAGTTAATTACCCCCTCACAGCTTGTAGTAGGCGGGACGGACATTTAAGTCGGATTATCTGAAAGTAATCTAGTGAGACTCCCCGCGGGGATAGATCGATCTAAAATCTATGGGAATAGAGCCTAAGAGGTCGCAGATACCGCACTGCAACCTTGTTGCAACCGGCGTGACGTACAGGAGTAGTAGTCCTACGAAATGGAAGTCCGGGGTCCCATATGCTTAGTACAGGTTAGGGTTAGTCAGAGTATTGGGGTACGATTTTACTGTTAGTATATGGGACGGATGTCAACTGTACTAAGTAATGGGGACCACGGTTCCTAGCGGACTACCACTCGTGTCGCACTGTTTTGAGAGTGATTGTCTATCAAAATATGCCAAAGCTTCTAATTTAGCTTGCAAAGTGATTGCAAGCGACCGCCAGATTTTGTGGTTGTTAAAAGCTTGCCAAAAGATTGAAAGCGCATTGTGACCCAGGCTTTAGGGACATAAATACTTTCAAAAGTGTATAGTTTAGGCAAAAATAAATAATTAAATAAATACATAAATAAATAAACAAACAAACAACAGCAAACAGCAAGTACAATGCTTAGATTATTATTTTGTCTGTTTTTCTTCACATTTGCAATCTGTATGCTGTATTAATTTGTAAATCAACACTGTCTTTATTTTTCATGATAGAAATTAAACGAACATCATTTCTTTTTTGTTTCCACTGTCATTTTGACGTATATACCTAAAACAAAATTTTAATACTATCGAACAAAAATATACTGTAAAGTCACTCATAGTTGCTCTCGGAGACTGCTGGGCGACGCGCACGTTTGCGTGGAATTTTCAGCGATTTCCGGACGGAGCCGAAGTATCCCGAAGGCTCCGGTATCTCCCCGTCTTCACTCGCCATGAATTCACCTCCCGTTGCATTTAGTGTGCAGAGTGCCTCGTACAGTTCTTGATTTTTGCGCACAGTCTGTGAACGAATAAAGCAACACGGGTGATTATATGATGTAAGGAGCAAATTTCAGTCACAATGTGAGCTACTTCCAAGATATGTACATGTAGGCCTACTTTCATTGATGTCTTTGTGTACGCTGCTTATATCGTCAAACGTTTCGTGAATTTCAGCCTTGATAATAATAATAATAATTATAATACATAAACATGAAGTACTCGTTCAACAATTCAATATAAATTTACATTTTCAAGCTAACCAGAAGACAATGATCACTAATTAGCCGCAGTAAACATTTACAAATGAATTAATTTGGGAAAGGAAAATTGTCTTTGTGACGAGTATGGTAGGCTGGGAGTGGACGTCTTGGGTTCTAACTAGTCCGCGGATCAAATATGGTGCGACCCACCCGAAAGCATGTCGAGATTTAATAGATCTGCCCCTGCTAGGACGGCGCACGTGGAAGGTCAAGTGTGCACCATATTTGACCCTCGGACTAACTAGAATCAACTGGTTGTGAACACGACTAAAACTATTGGAAAATATACTCAGGCGACAATTACTAGCGGACCACACTTCTGTTACAGGTGTTATGACGACAGATCACGATGTAACACGAAATGACCAGTAAGGACTTTACACACCACGTGTTAAACCTACGACCTAAGTACATGGCAACGTGCGCCCTGGTTCACGAAAACGCCACTGTAAACAGCGCGTTAAGGAGTGAATTAAAAGTGTTTCTCACTGGTTCTGAGGCCCAGTTCTCATCCTGCACGCGCTCGTACTCTTCTCTGATCTTTTTCAGCTCGTCACGCCAAGCCTTGAGTCTCTCTCGTCTCTCCGTGACTGGGGAGAGACACGTGGCGGGGGGTTGGTTTAGAGTGGTTGAAGAACTGTTGAAAATTAAAAAAATAATAAATAAAGATAGAGACTACTGTACATTTCAGTATGGTTAAATTCGGTGGTGAATGGTGCTTGTCCTATTTGTCTGGCACATTATTTTGAGCGAGTCATAACACTTCGCCAAATATACATGTAGATGCAAACACGCGCGCATTCATGTAATTTGGCCATGAGCAAATGAATAATCTCCCATTAGACAAAACGCAAGACCGAAAGACTTTTACATTCACAATTATTTACCTTTAAGTTAACTGACAAAACAACCAACTAAAAAGAACAATAGAACCATCTAGAACAATATAAATAAACGTTTAACGTAAAATTACTCAGCAATTAGATATAGCCATCTTCAAAAAAGGATTCTTTTCTACATTTTTTTTTCATTTTTGAGCCCACCTTTTCTCCTGGGAATTATACTTTTGAGCACATTTCTTCTGCGATAAATGTGGTACCTGTAATCATTACGTGATGGTGTCAGTGTTGAGTCCGTGCACGTAAATGAAAGAGTTTCTGAGAAACGTGCTTTTTACTAGATAGAATGAGGACAGAACAGTATTATATGGGATCTCGTTAATTTGATTTATATTTACTTTCGGTCCAATGATAATAAAGAATTAATAGATAATAGAATAGTACACAAAACTTTCAATAAATATCTTTTTGTTTGCCAGTGGCTTGCAATGTAACGAGTCATAATTCAGTGTAATCATTCAAAAGTGCACTTCTGTATCAATCTAAATGTGCAAATTTGCAGAGTTTTCTATCAATTTTACCTACATGAGTAGAACTTAGAAAAAAAGTAAGACCTGAATCGCATTTTTATTTCCGAGTAACATTGAGCAAAATTATACATAAATCTGTATCATGTTAAGGTTACTGTTAGCAAACAAAGTAAAAAAAATGAACTATTACCTTATGATTGGCTGCATCCTCGTTGCACAGTATCGGAGTAAGAGAGGTCACAAATACTGGGGTTTGGTTTCTGCCGCGGCGATGTCTCCGATTTACTCGTGTTTTTATATGTGCCACAGCCTGGCTGGCTCTAACACGGGCCTGTCTCACGGCGCTTCTTATCGATTCACATAGAGACATTGCAAAATAAATAAATAAAATTATATAAAAATAAAATCAATGAGAGGAAACGAACCCCCACGTCGCTTCCTGTGAATAACAAATCTTGTAGCTAACGTTGTGCATTTCGTCACAGAACACATCACGCGCATGCTGACGTCACTTTACACTATGACGACACAATCATTTCTGCGCGGCTGTCCCTTATCTCGTTGCTATGCCTTGTTTTGTTTTTTTTTCGGACTTTTCAGGACCATTGTGCAATCGGATGGGTAAATAATGTCATTTACATTTTTATTTGCTAAAACGTATATCAATATTTCAGTCCACATTTCCAAATGAAATTTTAAAGACATCCAGATGTTATCAGTTTTAATTTTAACTCCTCAGTATAGGAAAGGTTTAATTTAAAGTGCTCAAATGCAACAATCGGAGATATTGCAACTTAGACATTAATATCCTCCTTGTTCTGCTTCAAATAACTTGTCTAATTAAGCAGCAAAAGGAAAAACAGGTTCAATTTAAATTAATTTATTGAAATATAAATTTGTTTTCAATATGGAAATACAAATGTTACGATACTAAAAATGTCGTAATTTCTTACAATTTACTCATTTCCTGTTAAAACAAAATACCATCTGATGGAACCTGCGGATAACAAAAAGAGGAAGAAAAAAATCTTTTCCCCTATCCATTTTTGCTCACAGGATGCATTTATTTTATATTTGCAATAAGCTGACGGCAAACTGTGCTGCTCGTCTTTTAGCAACAATATATGAGCCGCGACCTTAAAACATTTCAGTCTGAACCTCGACAATTATGAAGCAGAATGTTAAATGTCATTGTCAAATGTCATAACTGAGTCACTTTAACTTGTCGCTAGGTTACAATTACAAATTCTCTTCTGAGTGCATTTATCTAAAACTTGAAGGTCAAATCCTGGGCCCCTGAAGAAGGATTTACTAGGAGGTCGATTCATGAGCCTTGGACCATTAAACATGTGTATCAGACTACAGACTTCCTATCCCATGAGCCTTGAACTTCCAGCTTAATCTTTGACACAAAGACATGGTCTAGCATTTTCTGTTAAATCACGAGTCTCTCAAATTCTAGATTAAATCCCAGGCCTCAAGTCTTTAGAATTCTAGACTAAATCCCTGGTAGTGTCTTCAGAAATTCAGACTAAATCCTGGGCCTTCAGTCTTTATCATTTCAGACTAAGTCTGGGGCTTTGGGTCTCAAGAAATTTTAGACTAAATCCTTGGCTTTGAGACTTAAGAACTTTAGACTAAATACTTGGCTTTGAGTCTCTAGAATTTAAGACTAAATCCTTGGCTATGAATCTTTAGAATTTTAGACTAAATCCTGGACCCTGAGCTGAGGCACCTTTGGTAGCATGTGTGAACTGGAACCCTGTATCGTCATCATCTCCCTGGTTGACAAGAAAAAAATTAAAAAAATTAAAATATAAAAATTACATAAATAAATAAATATTCAATCAATTAAATAAAATGGCCTCTTAACAAGTTGTTTAAATAGTTGCATCAAGTTTAAACCTAAAATAGTTGCTCACTACTGAAAAATTCTGTTTTTCTGGTTTCATAAAAAATTTCTTGGATGTGTGCACGTGTCCATGAGAGTGCTGTAACACTATTCCTGTTAGGGTAAGATGTGTGCATGTGATCATGTAACCTTGGTAACAAAGACGTAAGCCAAGGAACCCACTCAAGTTATTTTCAAACTAGGACCTGAAAGCTATGTAAACTCACAAGTAGGTCATAGGCTTTGCCACCAGATGGCGGCTTGGGCGTGTTTCCATGGCGACGTGGTTGCTCACTCTTGGCTGGCCATGTTGGAAACATCGAAGGGTCCACAGGCTGGGGAGACTCCTGAAAGAACTCGTGCTTCAACGCCTCCTCCGCTGTGATCCTCTTCTTTGGGTCATACGCCAGGAATCTACCGAGAACAAAAAAGTAATGGGGTTAAAAAAAACACTGCACTTTTTTTTCCGGGAACTCCCAAGTTAGAATATAATATTACTCAAACCCACAGACAAAATAATATTAATAAATAAATAAATAAATAAAGATCTACAAACCTAATTTCTTTAAACCCATTTCAGTTCATTATAATCAGTTTTTTTTTTTGAGTCACTTTTTTAATGGGTGTGGAGCCAACTAGCAAACTTTTCATGATAATCTGAACTCATTTTTCAAAGTGAGATCTTTCTCCTTCTTTTCAACAACAAAATCAAGGTTCTTATAGTCTGCAATTTACAACCTTGACCTTGACCTACTTGTTGAGAAGATGAAAACCAGTCTCTGAGAGATAACTCCCAAATCTGTTTTTTATTGAGTTGAATGGGTAGTTGGCAAAGGTGTATTTCTTCCAGTGAGGTAGTTCTGTCACACCTTCCCAAACTCTCTCATTTGGAGTGCCAAGATCCTGGACAACAAGCAAATCAAACTATCAATTATTCATCTATATGTACTTTTTATATACCCAGGTTTTTGGTTTAAAAATGTAAATCAGCCATAGATTATGTATAAACATATTCATGATGACACACATATGCATATACACACACATGCAGGCAGGCATACATACATAATTGTATATACATACATAATTGTATAGAAAAATCTCTAAATAGTCTAGGGTACAACCTCTCTAAAGTTACTCACAATTCTCTGTAATAATTAAACAACAGTTTCAAACAGAACACTTATTTTATTGAAATGTGTTATTTCAATAAAATTCCTCAACTTTACCTTGAATATCCTCTGCAGTTCATCAGTTTCAGACTTCCCAGGAAAAATGGGTTTCATTGTCAGCAACTCCCCAAATATACAACCAACTGACCACATATCTATAGGAGTGGAATATTGCTGGAAATATAAAATATTTACAAAGAATATACAACCAAATGACCACATATCTATGGGAGTGGAATATTGCTGGAAATATAAAATATTAACAAAGAACGTAAAACCAAATGACCACATATCTATGGGAGTTGAATATTGCTGGAAATATAAAATATCTACAAGGTACAACAGCCTACTGTCTATTTCCGTATGGGCATTGAATACTACTGTAAAGAGTGAATATTAGCAAAGAATATACAGCTAACTGAATACATGTCTATGGGTGTAGAATATTGCTGTAAATTTAAGATGATATACATTAGATGATATGACTTATAAATTCTAAAATTTTAAAATCAGTAATGTAACAGTAACAGCCTCATACAAACCTTACAATCCTAAGCAGTAACTACAGACAACAATATAGCAACATGATATAAACAGTAACATCATTTACCCCAACCAGAAGAACTGGACAACAATCCCCCAAGCTGACAGTAGCAATAACAACATCATGTACACACCTTAATTCCAAGCAGAAGCTCTGGAGCGCGATACCACAATGTGACAACAACACTAGTATATGCCCTTAGCGGAGAACCATACTCCCGCGCCAATCCAAAATCACCGATCTGGAAAAAAAATTTAAGGCAAAATATTTTACCGTATTAAACTGCCTTTTACTTTAGACTTGGTCCTTCAGGCTAAATGCAACCTGATAGAATTTCCAAATAATAAATAGCTGATATTTTTTTAACTTTAAGTTATTGTCAATCATTTAATTCAAGCTCCTACCAAATCTTCCTCTAGATAAAATTATATATCATTTTAAAATAATTTTAGCCCTAATGCTAGCATAGGACTGATGTGCAGTTCATAAATTAAATTCACCGTAGGGGAAATAGTGGAGAATAGTCTAAAATAATAAAAATTCAGACTATTTAAGTTTACCTTAAGGATGCCCTTGTGACTCAGCAAAAGATTGGAGGTTTTCAGGTCTCTATGGATAATCCAGTTGTCATGGAGATGAGCCACGCCCCTTAGCAACTGAAGCATTAAAGTTTTCACCTCTCCTGTAACATTAAGAATCGGTATTCAAAGGAGAAAAAATAGTCATGATTATTATCATTCTAATTTTCATGAAAGTAAACTTCAGCACATGACCAAAACTAGATTTCTTGGTCAAATCTTGTTCAAACATATATTAAAGAAGGCTTTGAACATAAAATAATAGGGTAGTAAAAAATCATCTTTAATGATTATCTCATTCAAATGTACTGAACTAGTTCAACAACAGTTCATTCAATATCAATTAGAACCATGTACATAAAAAGTAATTGATGTATGAACCTCACCCATGATAAACGGTTGTTTCATGGACTCCATCAGACTCTTCAAGTCATGCTCCACGTAATCCATCACAATATAAATCTTGTCCATGTTACTTCCAACAACAATTTCCTACAACAAATATTTCATTATTACAGATCACCATTCAACATAACCAGATATTCAAGTTGGAGGGAAGGTATGGGTGTATGTGTGTGTGAGAGTTAGAGTGAGTGTGGAGAAGTAGGGTTCAGTAAATGTGGTGAGAGATACAGTGACTATTTTCACGTGTTGTGCCTTCACTATGTCTCCTTAAACTGTACAAGAACAATGGTGTAGCGGACTTACCCTAACTGTGACTATGTTCATATGTTGCGCCTTCAAAATGGTGTTAATCTCTCTTATCGAGGTAATGGGGAATCCTTCCTTTTCTTTCTCCATTTTTAACCTCTTCAGTGCTACAATTTCATCTGGAAAAAAACAATTTTATTATAGGTACTGCAATACATAGGGAACATATTATGGGGTAATCAGGAACTTTGATCAATCTCCTTCTTTAGAGGAATCTACCCTTGAATACCAAATTGTGTTTCAAACTCAAAAGAAAAAAAACGGATATGTTTTAAAATCCACTGTTTTCTTTAACTGTATGAAATTTCAGCAGCAGTTCCTATCATCGAGGAATCTATATTGCGTTACAAACTCAAAACACCCTGAATACATTTTTAAATCCACTTTTTTCTTCAATTAAACAAAATTTCCTCAATAAAGTTAAATTCAGCCTACCCTTTTTCTTATCCCTGGCCCTGTACACCACCCCATACGTGCCCTCCTCTATCCTGTTTAGACAGTGGAATTCCTCCACACTTCGACAGCCTTGGATTGCGGGATAATAGGACGGGAGTTCCTTTTTGAGTTCCACGGGGGACTGGGGAGGGGTGTCGTCAAGGACCCCCTCAGCATAAGCCGCCTCTGATGGCTCAGGGACTGACTCGGTCTCACTCTCCTCAGGAGAGGACTGATCATCAAATTTAGAGCGTACTTTTTCTGAAATGAACAAAGAGAGCAGACATATTTTATCAAAGAAATTAACTCAGATAGTGCTGAATTCCATCAAGGCAAAAAGTAAATTTTCTTTTTCAAATCACACATTTGTTTTCATTTACTTATTAACATTTCAAATTTCATACTTCCGTTTAAAAATTGTGAAACACATACTGCATTTGACAATGCTGATAGAAAATTACACAAGAAAGGTGACAAACCGAAAAATGAATTAGTATTCAAATGAATTTGCAAAAATTAACTGATATTCAAATAAATTAAGTAAGTATATTTTCTTAAATTTGACCAACATTCCAGCAAATACTGCAACCAGAGAAAAATTCTATTCCAGTGTTTGACAATAATGTTGGATATGCACACCTGGCTTAGGTTTCTGTTCCTCCTCCTCCTCCTCTGCAGAGTCACTGTCTTCAGATTCTCCACTGCTGCTACTACCAGACTCGGACTCCGACTCACCGCTCCCGCTCTCCTCTGCGACTTGTTGCTCCTCTGCCTCGCTTTCACTTTGCTCTGTGGCCTCTTTTTCAGACTCTTCGCTGGATTCTGGTGACTGCCTGTCGTTTGTAACCTCTTGTGTTTCCATTGCCTCCTCAGCGTGCTCAGGGGTGACCTCTGGTGGCAGGATTGGGGATGGCCGCTTTTCTGGAATGTGAAGCCAACTTTGTAATTTTTTACCCTTAATCTTTTAACATACAAATTAGATTTAAAAATGATCTTAGGCATAAGTTGATAATTTAAATTCATAGATGGTTCTTAATTGAACAAAGTTCTACATAAGGTGTTAAGGTACCCTACAGTATAAGATCATTTAGAAGTATATTAAGAATGTGCTGCAATACATTTTAAGGTATTGACTTACATATAGTACTGTATATGATATACAGTTTTTAAAGTCTTTATAAATTGTAATAAACCTTATAACCCCACACAACTTTAAACATAAATTATTGCCATAATCTTTTAAGTTCACAACTGGGCTGTTTTTCAATAAGGGTAACTTTGTAAGATAAGTTTTAACACATTAAGGGTGTTGCAAGAGCCAAGGCACACTTCAGTATACCCACCCTCTTCCCTCGTGTTCCCGCGCTGGTTACTACCCCGCGTGCGACTGTCCTCTCTGTCCTGTCTGTCTGTGTGTCTGCTGCGACTGCGATCAGGGCGTGATTTGTCTGACCTCCTCTCTTCTCGTCTGCGCTCACTTGAATCTGAAATAAATTGACAGGGTAATTACAATTCCTTTCATTAAGGTGTTGAATGAAACATGGAGCTGGGTGCAATAAGCTGGGAGAGAACGCTTTATCCAAATTCCCTACATACTTTAATCTGAATGAGATAATGCAAAATACAAATACCACTTCTTTTTTCCTAAGTTGTCTTCTGTTTGATTAAAAATTTCTGGAAATTTGGATAAAAATCATGTTGTCAATGACCGAGGTCAGAAACACAAAGCTTTATTTATATATATATACAAAAGTAACCTTCGCCTGCTTTTCTTGATCGTGGCTCCCCCTTTCTGTGCCTGCGTTCTAGATCTCGCTCTCTCTCCCTGGCCATCCTCTCCTTCATGTCACGTTCACGTCGCTTTTCTCGCTCCATGTTTTCCAACCTCTCCCTGGGGGTACAAAGAGAAAACTGCATTTTAATGAATAAAATTTTTTTTTTGAAAACTTTGTATTTTTTTTAATGTGTCTGACGATTACAGATAAGAGAGTTTGAGGGCCAAATCTAAGTAAGTTTATGCAATTTATGTCAAATGATAATGTTGACTTAATGACAGAACTAATTAAACTATGTATTCTTGTTTCCAAATTGACACATGAACACATATAAGGTTGAAATCTTGTCATCATTTCTCAAAACAGACATTATCATTATTACAGAATTGTAAATAATAGTCCCTACTGTATTTGATATATATAAACAATTTAGTTATCTATTAAGTTTTTTTCCCAAAAATTAATTCCTAATTATGTATATCATCCACCGACTGACCTTTCCCGTTTAGACTCCTCCCTCCTGATATTTTCCTCTTTGATCCTCATGCGTTCCCTCTCTCTCTGGTCCGGGCCTTTCTCCTGCCTCTGCTCCCGTCCTCTTTCCCCTCGTTCCTTCTCTCCCTCCCTACCTCTCTCTCCACGCTCCTTCTCTCCCTCTCTGCCTCTCTTTCCTTGAAGAAGCAAGAAATATACATTGTTTCACCAAAAGATAAAAACATAGGAAAATATATGAACAAAAATAAAAAACTAAATGACAAAGTAAATCAAACTGAAAAATTTCAAATTAAATAAATATGGTAAAAAGACTGAAAATTGGCTTTCAATATTTCTGTTAACATATGGCAAATCCTTTTGCAGTCTCATTAAGAGAAACAGGGCGAAAACTGTTCTAGCTCTGAAGTAATGTAGTCTGCCTCTGTCTTCTCTTTGCTTTACTATATTTATGTTTACTTACTGTAGTCCTTGCCTCTGTCTCTGTCTTCTCTGTGTTTACGTTTATGTTTGTGTTTGTCTTTCTTGCCTGCCTGAGACTGTGGGGGTTTAATGTCAAGAGATTCCTGCTCCTCGTGTCTGAAAAGTAAAGGAAAATGCTTCAGTATCTTACATTACCTTCTCTTAAGTGTTATCACTTGGGTATTTGAAATACATGTTGCTACATCTGTCTGTCTTTTCTGCTTTTTTTTCTTTATCTCACTCACTCTCCTTTACTTGTCCTTTAGTCATTCTTCTTACCCTCATTCCTGAAAGCTTTTTTCTCTCTTTTCCTATTTCTCTCTCTCACACACACACACATGCACACTCACATTACCCCCTCAATCTCTAATATTCTCTGCCCTTCTTCAACCATCACTCACTCCCCACTTATTATTTTTCACTCCGTACCTCTCTTCTTTCTCTATGCTGCCCTCCTTCCTTGTGTCTTCCCTGTCACTGCCAGCAGAGGCTGAGGAATGCTGGGAAATGGCGGACTCCTCATCCTGTATCACCACACGCCTGTTAGGACTGTTGTCTGGGGATGCAGACAACTCTCCTTGCTCCTGCTCCGAGTCAGACATTTTATGTCAGAGAAAACCTGAAAGCAGTTCTTCATCAATGGCAGGTCTAACTACAGTATATGGGGTAACGGGAAAGGAGGAGGGGCACAATTGCCTAATTTTTAAAAAAATTATTTTCATTTTTATTATATAATTTCTTTTTGATTACAAGCTGTGGGTAAAGTCTTATACCCTCGACCCCTCCTCTTCCTTTATGGTCACTTATATTAAAAGCCCCATGAGTTTGCAACACAAGGAGGAATGTAGCATGAAAATTCATGTGTTAGCACTCCTATTGACGATTCTGATATGTACAAAAATATCAGAAACGTCAATAGGAGTGCTAACGCATGGATTTTCGTGCTATGTGGAATGAGGTCCTACATGTAGCTAAGAGAAGTAATTTCATATAAGGTCAAAACTGAGGCAAGAAGAGGTGGAACAGCTATACCCCACTTCTCCTTAGCTTTTAAGGTACCCCCCCCAAAATAAGGTATAACAAAAGCATACATATCTGAACTTCATATTACTTACCTGTTGTATTAATCTCAACAACAGTTCCTCTTTCAACACGTGAAGCCGGTATAAGTTGTACGAGCTTTCAACGACCCAGCTGTAAGTTTCATATATGCCTGGGTACCTCGAATACTCCCGGATACGAGTTTTTTCTCAAAATATCTAGATGTAGTTATAAACGACTGGACAGTATTGTATGAATCATTTCCACCAACTTAACAACAGGTGCGTGTTTCAATCGTTGCAATATGGCCGCCTCCACTGGCGTGAAATAGTGCATAGATGGCGCTGTTGATAAAGAGGAGAGCAGCCGCTATTTAAAAGTACTTTAATCACTCACGTTACTGATTTCCACATTGTAGATCTAAAAATGGAAAAAAAATGCACTGAAAAATATAGCTTGTCTTCATATATTTAATTTCAATTCTCGGGTAAAAAAGTTCCGTCGAATGTTAGCTAGCATTACTTTTAGCCCCGATTTTTGGTTTTGTGATTGTGAGAGGTTTGCAAACACAATCAGGAGAGAGGGCACACTCGCTCGGCTGAGCAGAAGCGTTTTGACCTGATTCTGGGAATTTCACAAATTAGATTTACAAACGAACAACCGGAGGATGTAGCTTGATATATAAAAAATAGGTATGTCATGTTTTGAGATTCTGTTTCACAAGATGACCTTCTTTTATGGCGATTTTATGAAATTCGATTAAAAATACCCAACCGATTATATTTATTTATTTATTTATTTATTTATTTATTTATTTATTAGTAGGCCTAACTTACCACGGCAAGAGATATATGTTGTAGTTTAAAAGTAAGTTAATGTTTCTGAAGCTCAGGGTGCAAATTCCTACCACCATGTGTTAATGTGTCTTTTAATTTTATATCTTTTTGCATTAGTTGAATTGACCACTGGATTGTATTAAGTTTTTCAGGTAAAATGGACAATCGTCCCTTCAATATTTAAAAGTCATAAGTAATATTTTAAAACTATCCTTTGAGCTACAGGTAACCAAAGAAGTAGAGAAAACTCTACTTCTATGAGGTAACCAATGTAGATCATGTAGAACATGTGTAGGCTACCGGGTAATATATGTGTTCAGACTTGTGAGTTTTACAGAGGAGACGTTCAGCTGAATTTTTAAAAGACTGGATTTTTCCTTTTCGATAGCTAAGTATTCCAAACAAGGCCAGTGCAAAATCTCTTCCCTTTAAAAAATATTGGCATTTTTCTTAAAGTGATAATAATTACTCTTCGTTTTGGACAAAAAATGAATTTTCCTGGAGTAAACAAAAGATTTCCCATACTTACCAAAGGTTAATGAATCCATTTTTACATTCAAAGTTAGTCCCTTTTTTTTCTAAAAAGTTTTTTTTTTTGTGAAAATCTCTTAAGAGATTATAACAGAGTATAGCCATCAATGGAGGTCACGTGGTCTAAAGACAAGCTCAGATATCAGAATAATAGCTATTACTGCTGTTTTTTTTTGTCGTAAAACAATAGGACTATATTATATTTCTATGAGTTATTCACATTGTTTTTATTGTGAAATATAGACCTTATACGAAGAGTTATTATCCCCTTAATGTTTCATCAATGTGTCGAAAAGTGATGTGGGGTTCTTAACTTCTTTTTTTTATTTTTAAAATTGTATTCCATCTGATTTGCATCTTTTTTTAAATCTTAATGTGGTTATAAAGCGTTGGTTCGACACACTACAGGCATTAAATAAAAATTTTCACTACAGGCTTTTCACTCACGCACGAGCCACACATAAGCGTCACTTACAGACGAACAATAGCGGACTTATTCATGTTTGAAATGAAACACAAAAGAAAATGGCCCGGATGCAAAACAACCAGACACCATTTTATATAAAGTTAGGTTATAAATCGATACGCTCCAAAGTCCAATTTGTATTTGTATATTTGAAAGTAGTTTTTGCGAAGGTTGATCGACTTAAGGCATCCTCTGAACAGGTAAGTTTGCCTTCAGTTAATTCACTGCACAAAAAGATGGTGAACAATGAAATAGTTTGCACTGAATAAAATGGCGACTTTGGAAATAAGGCAGTAAATAGGTTCGCCATATTGTATCTGAATAACAAATTGTAGACCGCTTTACTGAGACCAGTAGATTAGTGTTCTGATTATCTTATACATTTGTAGATTTGTAAAATGTACAAAACTTTCTTTACATTTTCCAAGGCACACAAGCGGATACTTAAAAGGGCGTATTCACAGACATTTAGGTGGAGCTATCCCCGCGGGGAGTCTCACTAGATTACTGTCAGATAATCCGGCTTAAATGTCCGTCCCGCCTACTACAAGCTGTAAGGGGGTAATTAACTTTCGTGCCCGCTCGGCTGACAGCTATTTAGCGTGATCTAGTTTGGATCGATCTAATCTCTGGGAATGGGGTTTTAGTGAAAACCCCTTTTTCTCTTTCAAATGAAAAGTGCCCGCTCACTGCGTCATTTAATCGGTCATTATAAAAAAAAAAAAAAAAAAAAAAAAAAAAAAAAAAAAAAAAAAAAAAAAAAAAAAACGGAAACAAAGACTCAGCAGGGGGAGGGGGTATATCATACATCTTACAGAGCTAACTTAACGACAAGTCTGCATGTTGACTAAGTTATTATTATTCCTTCGATTTCTGCTATTTTCTACTTCAGGTAGTTATGACTGCTAATAAAGCATCCCGGTCTTCAGTGTTTTTCTTCCTACTGGAATTTTTGTCACTAATGTCGACGATGGATGGAGCAAATCTGAACCTGTGCCGCTCCATCTCGGCTGATTATGCCGTTGCCTTGAACTCAACAGGAGAAGCAGTCAGTTGCAGGCAACGTATATGTCCACCTGGTGCGTACATTGTACAAGGTTGTCCCAACCAAAGTTATGGTCTTTAGCAACCTCATTTAATGACGTAATTAATAAACCAGCGAGCAAAGTGTTGTTTGCAAGTGTATATATAATACATAATAGGACCTAAACAATATAGTTTAATAATCCTGCATCTAGAGTAATTTGTCAAAAGAGGTCAATTTTTGTCCATGAAAAGACGCTACATTGATTAATCTGAGGTAATTTGTCAAAAGAGGTCAATTTTTGTCCATGAAAAGACGCTACATTGATTAATCTGAGGTTGACCTTGAAGATCAATTGATTCTATTTTGCTCTGCAAATATTGACAAACGTGAACTTGCACTTTGCATTAATGTGTTAGTATGATCTTTTTCACAAGTCTACATAAGCCCTCTGTATAATTTTGAAACTTAATAACAATGAAAATTCAAAATGCTGTCGAAGTTCTCCATTTTTAGCTTTTAGTCCTCTACGCTCTGAAAAATGGGGATCTGGAAAAAGACTACGCTTCGTAGATTTCTGAAAATTATGACAAGAAAATGGATGAATCCTAAACTTGTTTCCCGGCCATTTTTTACAGGACATTATGCCGAACCATGTAGGTCTGACAACCCCCAGTCCACTGCATGTTGTCCCTGTCTCCCAGGGACATTTCAACCCAGATACAACCTGCTGGGCACCAAGTGCATCAAAAAGTAGGTTTATCATTTAGCAACTGTAGGCTGAACTACATACTATGAAAAAAAAAAAAAAAAAAACGGCAGGTAGGGTAAAGCGGGTCCGTGTTTCGAAGTTAAGAGGTCTGTAAAGATTTAGTTCTTTGAATTGCTGTGGTTTATAATAGTTATCTTCCACCACGAGACCCATCGTGAAGGGGACGGTTTTGGGGTCTGCTTTGGGGGAGCCGTGCAAAGGATTGTTTTTCTAATTTACGCGTTTTCCAGATCATTCATTCATTTATTATTATTATTATTATTATTATTATTATTATTATTATCTGTTAATTGATTTATTATCAGTTTTGCTCACATAATACAAAGATTGAAAAAAGGTCACACCAGTATAAATTTATATATACAGACTTGACATTTAATATGGAATATTTTTGCTGAATCATAATTCATCAGTTTGTTTTCCTATTTTGCTGACTGATAAATAAAAATAAGTATTAAAATCGTGTATTGAAATCTTCTGATAATCTGTACGATGCCATTGTGACATCAGTTCTTTAACTGAATTCGCCAGTGAAGCAAACAAAAATACATTGCCCAGTTTAAGTCGTACGACAACCATTGAAAGCGATATTTTGGATCTCCATATTTTCCAAATTATCGTCTTTAAAGGAGTTACACCCAGCAAAGACCCCTCATATCAGTGTCTAGTCACAGCAATGGTCGCTGTTACGCAGGACCTCATCTGGCTGCTACCAGAGCTTTCAAGCGGCAAGGCATTCCTTAGGATAGGTTTTTAAAGTATAATCTGGAATAAAATTCCAGGCAACGGTTAAAACTTGTCCAATTTGGTTCAGTTTTATTGCAAGACATGCAGGCCGTTGAAACAGCGAGTATTGACCTACCTACATATTGTCTTTGTGGTTCAAATATGGCGATTTTGATGACCAATGTAGCTGCTCATTACCTTGGTTCTGTAAGTAATCTGCTCTTAAAATCGCTCTGTGTGAACCGTGTGGCAGGAGTGCACGCCCTAGTAAAGCAAGTCCGCCCGGACAATAAGTCCTGGGAATGCAAGTCCTAGGGCATGCATTGCTAGGAATGGAAGTCCTAGGACATATGTTTACTAGGATTCAATGTCCGTAGGACGAAGGCTCCCAAGTAATGCAAGTCCTACGTGTAGTAATACACGTCCTAATGGGACGTGCGTTCCTAACATTTTAGTAACGCATGTCCTATATAAGTAGTTTACACCAAAAAATGACATCAATAAATAGATATACAGACATATGAGTTTTAAAGATATAATAAACGTTTGCTTTATTCTATTTATATAACATTTTATCTTTTTATTTTACAATGTTTTCCGATAGGCAGTTTATATGCATATTAATGAAGAAACAAAAGCAATTAATTTTTTTATGTGTATTTTTCATCTAGTAAACGCACATTTTGACGTGTTAATGCATAATATATAATAATATTGCATAATATGTATGATCCTGGTTTGCCCGATATTTTTTTAACAAAAAAAGGCACCATCCAAAGGCATCCCTTTTTTATCCTTCGAGGTATATGTACAGTGGACCTTTTGTGTTTTTCGTCGAAATTCTTATTTTCTCTCCCTCTCTCTATTTTTCAAAACCTTATTCCTAAGAGAAAAATTACTTTAAACAAAACGCGGGATCTCCGTTCTTAGATTTATTTTTCGGTTTACACTCGCTGAAATTTAAAAAAAACTC